TTATTCCTTTAGTAGTGTTTCTTGGGGTAATTAGCATCTATGATGAATGAGTGTTCAGTTGGGAGAGAGAATGTACCTGCATGATCAGAGGATATACAGATTTTTAACATACATGTAGTGTAGAACAGCATGTTTTTAGAGCTGCAGTTTTCCAGTTGATGAGTTTATTTCTGAAAAATAAATCCATTTTCCAAGAATGGAATATATTCTCTTTATCTGTATCTGTTTGAGGGAACTCCAACAATGATCCTGCTGTGGGAGACGTCCTATCACACATCCAAAGAAGACAGTTTTTGAAAACTTTCTTTAGTATCTGTTTTCATAAGAATTCATTGCTGGCTATTAAAGTGAAAGGACTGATTTGGTGGAGGTAAAGTCATTTCCAGCATCTCTTGGAAAATCAGATGAAGCTTATTCTGCTTAGAATTGACCCAAGGATTGGGTAGGGAACTGGATAAATTAGTTTTAATCTAGAAACTGTGAAACTAACAGGATCTAGAGGAAAAATTACAGGACTCTAGGAGTTAGGAAACCTCTGCAGCCACCTTGGTTGCCTCAGTTGCTCTTCCTCTGTCGAAGGACATGTGATATCACCATAACCACTTCTGAGGGCCATTTCAAAGATCTTCATTGAGAATCCTTTGAAAATCTCAAAAAGTGCTAGAGGTAGAGTATAGCTGTTAATAGTACCATTGGGTCAGTTATGGCCAAGTCTATATTTTGCTGTGGTATTATATTTCAAGATTTAGTCTGAATTTTATTTTGCAGCATAGATGATAATCTGTAGTTTAATTTAGTACCTTTTGAAGTCCTTTCCCTTTTTCAGATTGTCCTGGTGAATGCAGTTAATCCTAATTCTTCCTTTCTCAGTACTGATGTGTTTTAGTAGATATGTGTTGTACCTCACTTGCTTATCAAATGAATTGACCTTGGCAATGAGTGGAGTGACAGATGCCACTACCAGATTGCTCTCAATTCCAGTGTTAACTGCCTCTTCTCCTTCTTTTCCAGTCCCACACCTTTGACATCTCATCCTTCAGTCCTTTTGCTGTAAGGGCAACTTGAACAAGCTTCAGCCCTTTCTCAGACTCCCAGGGCAGGACTTGAATGGATTTGACCCTGGAATTGTTCCTGATGCAGCCTTGTTCAATTCTTGCTGCTGCCATGCTGGGTTCCAAAGATCCACTCTTTCCTCGGCTGGTCTTGCAGGGTCAGGCCCATTGGTTAAAGCTTGTCATGTATTTGGTGGGGAGGATCAAGATGAAGGAGGGACTTCATTTTGGGTGTTGGACCTAGAGGCAAAAAATAAGCATTCAGTCTAAAAGCACCAAGTGCCCATTGTTTAGGCAGCTGTTACTCAACCATGTTTCTATGAAAATAAATTCTTTTCATGAGGCAGTTGTGTGGGAATAGCTAATTCTGGCCCAACGCTGTGCAGTGTGAGGTTAAAAACATGGTAACTTGTCACAACACAATTCTTCTTGTTCTTTCTTCTGTGGGCTGACTCTACATTACTCGCTTTGTTTGCTCTAGAATGGAATCTACTCACCATTTACTAAAATTAAATGCATTTCTTGGGGGAGGCAAAGTCCACTTCACTAGGTCTTGCATCTTAAAGGAGCCCTGCTCTCTCTATAACTAACTGTTAGAATGTTATTTGGCTTATTTAAGTCCAGATTGCAGTTGTGGAGTTGGATTTTATATGTTGGACTGTAATGTATCTTAGTTTAAAGAAATTTATGTTCATTGCCCATGTCTTGTTCTTAGCAGTACAGATTAATTTTTAAAGTCTTAGGCAATAAGTAGAGGTGAGCATTAGAAAGAATGTGTAACATGGTACAAAGCGCAAAGCTTTGGAATCTGACAGGTGTGGGTTGACATCCTGACCTTGGGCCAATTTTTCACCTCTAAACCTTAATTTGCTCCTTTGAAAAATGAGAATAATGAAAGTCATGTAATAAGGTAATGTATGGAAAGCACCTGGCCTCAATGATTATTACTAATCATCCGCAGAAACCATCCTTTGCATTTTTATTAGAAGCCAGAGCTGAACTCACTTGCCTATGTGGGATTGTTTCACAAAAGAAAAGACACCTTGCAGTAGCCCTACAGATTGTTTCACCTTTCAACTGACAAGCTTTATACTGGACACAACATCTACCCAAGTGCTTAGATGCCTTTGGTTTTCCCCAAGAATGTGTGTATTCTTAGCCACTAGCCAACCAAAGAAATGGCTAGATCTTTTCAGGTACCATTTTGGGCCTGATGTTTCCTTTGAATATACTACTGCATTTCTTTACAGGAATTTGACTGGACTTCTGAAATCCAGTGTGGGGGAAGCCCTGTCTTCAACTCTCTTGGCATGTCTTCTCTGAAAGGATAGGCTCCTGATAGATTTTATATAGTGCCTTGGTTCACTTAGAATTATGGGATGGTGTATACCGTGTAGAAAGATTGTCATTGGTCCCACAAGTCTTGCAAGTTGGGCGATCCTTCTTGAGGACTTTCAACAGCAGATGGCCTTTTTATGCATTGTGACGGTATAAAAAACTACTCAAACAGATTTATATCCATCATAGTTCAAATCTTTTCAGCATTTATAGATCATTCCCATTTTCTTTCTTTTTTCTAACACTTTTTTATGTTAGGACTTGCAGGACAGTCATGGAGAAGAATGGAAAGGGAGATCACCTCAATAAAAGGAGGGCAGCTTTGCCAGTTTGTAGTTTAAAATACATACCTAAATAAATCATAAATCTCCCCAATGCCAATATCCATAGAATCAAACTCTTAAATTCCCTTACCGTCACCAAGGTTAAGAACTACAGACTTTGGTCCCCACTTCAGGCAGCTCTTGAACTCAGTTTGTTTTTGCACGTGTGGAGGACCAGAAAAGAAACAAAGACTCTTCCTTATAACAGAAATACTCAGATATTTAGTGATGTCGCACTAGTCATTTTGGCAAAGACTTATCTTTGTTATTCAGCTATTTGGTCAGTAGAATGATGTGGGGTATCTTTGGTAGAGGTTAGTAGTAGTTTGTTGTTCCTTTAAAACATTGTTGATCGTGTCTGATTTGGTTTTAATTCCTTGGTCAGGAATATAATTCCCAATGATAAAACATTGTTATTTTTGGAAAGTACAATTTGTCTAATGCCACGGCTTCAAAAAGTATCTTGGGTTAGGGCAGAAATTTTGATATTATCCAATTGGTGGTTATATAAGGTACTACAGGGATGGTAGAGGGGGCAGAAGGTACCCATATAGGTATGATGGACAGAGGGAACACCAGTAATTAATTTTTTAAATTAATTTATTTTTTTATTAATTAATTTTTGTTACAGATGTTTCTTTTTCCCCCCACTGATTCTCCCCTCCCCCTCCCTCCCTGCCCTGTCCCCAGTTTGTTGTCCATGTCCACTGTTCATGTATACATGCATATAAGTTCTGTGGTTTATCTCTCCCCCACTACCCCTTCTTCTGGGGATTGTCAGTCTGTACCCCACTTCCACATCTCTGGGGCTACCCCGTCCCTCAGACTGTTATGTTCATTATATTCCACAAATAAGTGAGATCATATGATATTTGTCTTCCTCTGTTTGGCTTGTTTCATTTAGGATGATACTTTCCAGGTCCCTCCATGTAGTCTCAAAGGATAAGAGATCTTTCTTTCTTACAGCTGCGTAGTACTCCATTGTGTATATGTACCACAGCTTTTTTATCCATTCGTCTACTGATGGACACTTGGGCTGTTTCCAGATCTTAGCTATTGTAAATAGTGCTGCTACAAACATGGGGGTACATATATTCTTTCTGATTGGTGTTTCAGGCTTCTTAGGGTATATTCCTAGAAGTGGGATTCCTAGAAGTGGGATCACTGGGTTAAATGGTTACTCTTTAGAGCATGGCATGGTAGCCTCATATGTCCCTGTGATCTGAGTTCTTGGTCTTTGCTGTCACTCTGTTTTCTGTCTTAAACACCAGTATGCTGTGCTTTTAACTCCTTGGCCATCTACTTTAGCTCTGCTTGTCCTTTTAGGAACAAACACATGAGCCACTTTTCAAGATAATCGTTAAAACTCTAAGGTTATCACCCCCTTCACATTGAGATATCAGTTGCCCTGAATTAAATTATCTGTAGCTCATTTTTTGTAAGTTTGCTAAAGTGGCAGCAGTTGTGACACAGTGGAAAGGAAGTGAGTATATAAAGATTAAGTCTCTATGACAGAATGTCTAAATTAGCCCTGGCTGGTTTGGCTCAGAGATTAGAGCGTCAGTCTGCGGTCCAGAGAGACTCTGGTTCGGTTCCCGCTAAGGGCACGTACCTCAGTTGCAGTTTTTCCCCGGCCCCAGTTGGGGTTGTGTGGGAGGCAGCCACTTGATGTGTCCCTTTCACGTCGATGTTTCTCTCTCTCTCTCCCTCCCACTCTATCTGAACAAAAATGGAAAAATGTCCTCTGGTAAGGATAAAAGAAAAGAATGTCTAAAAAAAAAATTGTTTTCTTCATTGATTTTAGAGAGAGAGGAAGGGAGAGGGAAAGAGACAGAAACATCGATTGGCCGCCTCCTGCATGCTCCCCACTGGGGATTTGGCTCACAACCTGGGCATGTGCCCTGAATGGGAATCAAACTGGTGACCTCTTGGTGCATGGGTTGACGCTCAACCACTGAGCCACATATGCTGGGTGGAACATCTAAATTTGCCTGCTGTAAGGAGAATGAGTACAGGTGGGAGTATCGAGGTCAGGCAGGTGACATGAGAGAGGTTTTCTTAGTTTAAATGTATCTAAGTGACAAAAAAATAGCATCTGAAGACCCTTTCATTAGCACCTCCTTTTGGTCCATCAGCCAATCAAACAAATCTATAAATTCCTTCAAGTATCACACTAACTTTCAGCTCATTGTGCCAGAAGCTTTAGACCAAAGATTGCTCCCATGAGATTATAGAGGTTATTGCCTAGGTGTAAAGAGTAACATGATTCTCTCTCTTTCCTTTGCAGGGAAGCAGAGTCTTTCAAGGAACAAGGAAATGCATACTATGCCAAGAAAGATTATAATGAAGCTTATAACTATTATACAAAAGCCATAGGTGAGATGGACCCTATGCTGGAAAATAATTTGCTAAATACTGTTATAAATAACTCCTCTCTAAGAAGTTGCACATCTTCAAGCTTAATGACTTCATGAGGGAATTGCTTTTTCTAGCTTAAGTGGGTGGTAGTTCTGTTGGCAAATTAGAAGCAATTCTAGAAATTAAAAAAGATGCCCACCTAAATGCCTTTCAGCCATTGCCAATTCATTTACTATCTTAGAAGATGGCCTTTTTGGATATTGTCAGGTCTTAGTTACCTCCATGCTCAATTTGCCAACATATTTTAATCCTATGCTAGTATTTTTCTCACCTAACTTGCTTTATTAGGCTTCCCACCCCCAGCTAAACAAATGCAAATTCATGTTCATATCTTATTACATAAAACACAGTCCATTAAGAAGATAACTATGCCCTGGCCGGTTTGGCTCAGCAGTTAGAGCATCAGCCCGCAAACCAGAGAGTCCCGGGTTTGGTTCCCGCTAAAGGCACGTATCTCTGTTGCAGTTTGTCCCTGGCCCCGGGTGGGGTCGTTTGGATGGCAACCACTCAATGTGTCTCTTTCTTTTTTTTTTTTTCTCCTCACCCGAGGACATTTTTTTACATTTATCAGGAGAGAGAGAAGGAGGAAGAGAGAAAGAGAGAAATATCGATGTGAGAGAGACACATCAACTGGCTGCCACCCACATGGCCCCATCTGGGGCTGGGGACAAACTGCAACCGAGGTACGTGTCCTTAGCGGGAACCGAACCCGGGTCTCCCTGGTCCACGGGCTGACACTCTAACCGCTGAGCCAAACCGGCCAGGGCTCAATGTGTCTTTTTTTTTTTTTTTTTTTTTTTTTTATCCTCACCCGAGGACACTTTTTCATTCTTTGTTCAGATAGAGCAGGAGGGAGAGGGAGAGAGAAACATCAATGTGAAAGGGACACATCGAGTGGCTGCCACCCGCACGACCAACCAGGGCCGGAGACAAACTGCAACCGAGGTACATGCCCTTAGCGGGAACCGAACCCGGGTTTCTCCGGACCGCAGGCCGACGCTCTAACCGCTGAGCCAAACCGGCCAGGGCTCAATGTGTCTCTTTCACATCGATGTTTCTCTCTCTCTTTCTCCCTCTATCTAAAGATAAATGCAAAAATGTGCGCAGGTGAGGATAAAAGAAAAAAAAAAGATAATTATGCTGATCCCCTATTCTAAAAGATAATTAATGCATTTTAAAACTAAGTATAAATGATTTTTAGTAATATGTTTTCTTTTTTTTTTTTTAATCCTCACCCGAGGAATTTTTTCGATATTTTGTTCAGATAGAGTGGGAGGGAGAGAGAGAGAGAAACATCGACGTGAAAGCGACACATCGAGTGGTTGCCATCCACACGACCCAACCAGGGCCGGGGACAAACTGCAACCAAGGTACGTGCCCTTAGCGGGAACCGAACCCGGGTCTCTCCGGACCGCAGGCCGACGCTCTAACCGCTGAGCCAAACCGGCCAGGGCAATATGTTTTCTTTTTAAATTGGTTGCATTATTGCTGCTGTCAATTTGCACAGGTAGTCAAAAATTTTCAGTGACTTTTTAAAGAGAATGTTACCGTTCCTATTATAGTTTGATATAGTTCTGAGGAAGATAGCCATTCTTAACCTTGTTTTATATCCTTCTTCCTTTCTTGTAGATATGTGTCCTAAAAATGCTAGCTATTATGGGAATCGAGCAGCCACCTTGATGATGCTTGGAAAGTTCCGGGAAGCTCTTGGAGATGCACAGCAGTCAGTGAGGTTGGATGACAGTTTCGTCCGGGTATGTAATGGTCTCTTTCGGGAGGACTGAGTCACTGCAGTTGACTTCTTCTAGCCCAGGGTTTCTCAGTCTCAACACTCACTGACATTTTGTGCCAGATAATTCTTTGTTGTTGGAGGCTGTCCTGTACGTTGTAGGGTGTTTAGCATCATCCCTGGCCTTTAACTATCAGCAGCACCCACTCCTTACTCAGTTGTAACAATAAAAAGTGTCTAACGTTGCTGAATGTCCCATGGAAGGCAGAATCAACCCTGGTTGAGAACTACTTCTCTGGCCATTTTTATCCCATGTTGGTTTTGTGGGGGTGTTTGTTGCTGCTATTGATTTCTATCTGCTTGGCCACTCATGTTCCTTGTCTTGCCTTCTTTGTGTTTTTTATAGGGACATCTACGAGAGGGCAAATGCCACCTGTCTTTAGGGAATGCCATGGCAGCATGTCGCAGTTTCCAGAGAGCCCTAGAATTGGATCACAAAAATGCTCAGGCACAACAGGAGGTATGGGTCTGATCCTCTCTGTATCAGGAGAGGCAGTGTGGTATATTTAAGGTGAATAGTGACCCAAGAGTCAGAACTGAGATCTAGTCTCACTTCTGCCATCAGCCACACCTGGGTGACAGTAGGCAAATTTCATAGTCTCTGAGCCTTGGCTTCCTAATCTTTCAAAGGAGTTTTGAGTATGATTTATAGCTTTAGAAATTGGAGGGTTTGTGAGATGGCTAAGAGAAGAGACAGATGCATCAAGAAACTGATACGAGGCTAAAGAATTTAGTAAATTCAAATCCTCATTAAATTGGTAGCAGCTGAAACATGTTTTACTTCCATCTCCAGATACTCAGTTTACCCATGGATGTATTTTAGTGAGAATCTCCAAGCTTTTGCTCAGTCCCTGGCAATGCCATCCCTTTATTTTGTATATATCAAGGCATGGCTCTTGTATTCCTGAGTTAAGTTCAAACTAGGGTGAGGTTTGGGCCTTACCCTTTCTGTTGAGTTCTCGCTACATCTTCACCAACTTGATTTGTGAAAAGTCTGTGATTCTAATTTTCTTGAGGTAACACATTCATCGGCCTTATTTATTTTTCTGGTTGTCGAATCTACAACTTCACTAAAATTTTCCCTTATCTGATTTTCTGGTTTAGTTCAAGAATGCTAACGCAGTCATAGAATATGAGAAAATAGCAGAAACGGATTTTGAGAAGCGGGATTTTCGGAAGGTAAAGTACAACTAAGAAGAAATCTTACCTAATCTACTCTTTCTCACAAAGTGTGTGTGTGTGTGTGTGTGTGTGTGTGTGATAATTAAGAGAAGTTGTATGGTACAGAAGATCTAGAATAGTACATTTAATTTGACTTTTAAAGATCTTATATATTTTTTTAGAACAGCAAAATTGGGAAGAAGGTTCAGAGATTTCCCATGTACTCCCTGCCCCCACACAAGCATACTCTCCCTCATTGTTAGCATCCCCCACCGGAGGTACACTTTTACAACCAGGTTTTTTATAATTATGAATAAAACTTCTGTAAATATCCATGTGCAAATTTTCATGTGGACTTTTTTTCTTTTTCATTTTGTTATGTATTAATTAAAGACAATCATTTACAGTTTATTAAAAAAATATTGGCCTGATACACACAAAAATTTCCTGATAGTGGTAATTAAAAACAACTACTCCCGCCACCAGAGTGTCCACACCAATACTCAATCTTGAAGTGTAATCCATTAAGACTGACGTCCAGCCCTGGCCGGTTTGGCTCAGCGGTTGGAGCGTCGGCCCGCGGTACAGAGAGAGTCGGGTTCAGCTCCCGCTAAGGGCATTTACCTCGGTTGCAGTTTGTCCCCGGCCCTGGTTGGTCGTGCGGGTGGCAGCCACTCGATGTGTCCCTTCACATTGATGTTTCTCTCTCTCTCTCTTCCTCTCTCTCCCTCCTGCTCTATCTGAACAAAAAATGGAAAAAATGTCCTCGGGTGAGGATAAAAATAAATAAATAAAAGACGTCCAAATAAATAAAAGACGTCCAAACACTTCAGGTCCTGGACAAGATAATAAAATACCCGTAAGCCTTCTGGGTCCTTGGATTGATTGACATCAATAAGGGAACCAATTTTTTTTTTCTTTATTGATTTTTGAGAGAGAGAGGAAAGGACAGGGAGAGAGAAATAGAAACATCAATGAGAGATAACATCAATTGGCCACCTCCTGCATGCCCCCCGCTGGGAATTTAGCTCACAACCTGAGTATGTGCCCTGACCGAGAATCGAACCAGTGACCTCTTGACGCATAGGTGGACGCTCAACCACTGAGCCACACCGGCTGGACAGGAACCGATTTTTGATGTTGTGAAAGAAATTTGTTCATCTCCAATGACAATTTCAAGTTCCTGCCAGCCCACTCAGTCTGGAGGAGACCATAAATCATCATCCTCTTTGGGAATTTTGCTGTCATCAATTATTCTCTTCAGTTCCTCCATCACACTTTTAGGTACGTAAGCCACTTTTTCTGATCATGACATCATTTTTGTAATTGCTATTGTTGGCAAATCTCAGTTTCCCATTGGATGGGAACTCAAATTCCAGGAATTTAGGGCCAAACTTGCCCTTGTGACCCACGTAGTAATGCAGATAAAAGGCACTCTCCATGGCTTTGTGTGGATATTTTTTTAACTCCTGTGGGTAAATATCAAGAAGTGTTATTGCTGAATTGTATGGTGAGAGTATACTTAGTTTTACAAGAAATTGCCAAAATGTCTTCCAAAGTGGCTGTATCATTTTGCAGTCTCGCCAGCAATGAGTTCCTGTTGCTCCACATCCTCACTAGCATTTAAAAGTATTTCTACTGACTGGCCAGTGTGGCTCAGTGGTTGAGCGTCAACCCATGCACCAAGAGGTCACTGGTTTGATTCCTGGTCAAGATACATGCCCAGGTTGTTGGCCTGATTCCCGGTGAGGGGCATGCAGGAGGCAGCCAGTAGATGTTCTCTCTCATCGATGTTTCTCTCTCTCTAAAATCAATAAAAGGAAAAAAAAAATTTTTTTTAAAGCTACAGTGAAAAATTATTTTTACTGTTACTTTTTTTGTTAATTACATTTCTCCTTATGATAAAATACAAAATGAATTTGTTACCAGAGTTTGTTCCTGTTTTTTATTGTTGTTTATTCTCACCTGAGGATATTTTTCCGTTGATTTTTTTTAGGTAGAGTGGGGGGGGGGGGGAGATAAACATCTATGTGAGAGAGACACATCGATTGCTTGCCTCCTATAGGACCCCGACCAAGTCTCAAAACTACAACTCAGGTATGTGCCCTTGATGGGGAATCAAACCTGTGACCCTTTGGTCCGTGGGTCGACACTGTAACCACTGAGCCAAATCGGCCAGGGCATATTCCTGTTTTTGTTTTTGTTTTCTTCAGGCAGAGTAGGAGGGAGGAACGGGGAGAGAGAAACATTGACTTGAGAGGAACACATTGACTGGTTTCCTCCCACACAACCCCGACCAGGGCCGGGGATGAACCACAACTAAGGTACGTAGCCTTGACCAGAATGAAACCTGCAACTCATTGGTCCATGGGCCGACGCTCTTTACCACTGAGCCAAACCAGCCAGGGCAATATTTCTGTTTTTGATGTAAGATAGTGGCCTAAAAGTGTCCTTTTAGGTAAAAAGAGGAAAAGCCAGTTGGAATTAAATAATTGGGTTTGGATAATCCATTTTTATTTGAATAATGAGAACCAGCTTCAACTCCTGCTTTATGGGAGCCGGATGGAGCTAGAAATCAAAGCTAAAGAGAGGCCCCTTTTACTTTTTGAATAGTGTAAGTAACCTGACATTACTACCTTTTTTATCTTAGGCCTTTTTACAAAAGCACAGTAAGGTCTTTAGGGAGCTGTGTGATAGTTTATGGGAATTTAAATCTAAAGGGGTTGATAAATCTGAAACCTGGGAAAAGTATGAAAGTTCTAGGTATCTTTCTAGGTCTTGTAGTGGTTATGCCTCATCTGTATAATAATTCCTAAGTACCTTCTTTATTTTTTTTTATTTTTTATTTATTTATTTTTTTTATCCTCACCTGAGGACATTTTTTCCATTTTTTTGTTCAGGTAGAGTGGGAAGGGGAGAGAGGAAGAGAGAGAGAGAAAAACATCGATGTGAAAGGGACACATCGGGTGGCTGCCACCTGCACGACCAGCCGGGGCCGGGGACAAACTGCAACCGAGGTACATGCCCTCAGCGAGAACCGAACCCGGGTCTCGGGACCGCAGGCCAATGCTCTAACCGCTGAGCCAAACCAGCCAGGGCCTAAGTACCTTATTTAGATGGTACTCAGAAGTAACTTTCACTAGAGTCTCAAAGGGGGAGGTAAATGGTCCACAAAAAAGTTAAAAACCACTGATCAGGATTGATTTTCAGGATCACTTGAAAGAAGTTTGTGAGTACAAACTTAGTCACTAACTCTGCGTGATGTTGCAAAAGTGAGAGGAACCAGGTTTGCCTAAAGTAATTGTGATAGAAATACATTAGCCTCAGAAACTACTGAGGTAGTCCATTTTATCCTCGTATAGTGTGAAAAATAACCGAAAAGTTTGTGCCATCCAAGGAATGGAATTGTCACTTCATATGTGGGAATTTGCTTGGTGCTTTCTGCAATAGGTACTCAGTAAATGTTTGACAACAGGGTACAGTTAAGAATTATTCTTAAGTCATACACTGTTAAGGTCTTTTACTTGATAATAAATATATCTAATTAGTGTATGGTGAATCCCAGCATTAACTTAACTAGCATCCCTCTTCTGTTCATTGGTTTTAATAACCACAGTATCTTTTTAGTGTGATTTGTACGTTTTTGTTTTGTTTTTGTGTGTGTTTGGAAGGTGATTCTGCTTCTTGTCATGTTTTCTGAGGTTTACATAGGCAAAAGCTTTATCTAGAAAGACAGTCTTTGGGTTTCTTTTCTCTCTTGCCCTCTGTGGAACCAGAATCCCCAGTTTGTGACAGAATCCTCTGTTTGTGACATCCCAGTCCCCTCACTGTAGCTCATGGTGATGTCACAAATGAAGAATTATGATTCTAGCAAGAGAAACAGATGAGGTTGAAGAAACAAAGATCTTCATTGCTTGCAGCTGTCTCTGGTCGTAGGGAGGTGGGGGTGGGAAGTAAAGCACTGAGCCTCTGACACTCCCCACGATGACAGAACCATCTCCATACAGAACGTTGTGAAAGCACCAGGGTGTGGCTACTGGAAATTTGACTGATTACTCCCCATTCCACCCCCATTCTTTATCCACATAAGGGGGGAAAATTAGCACCATGATTCTGCCCTACATAATACTGAATTTTCATATTGTCCTTCGAAATCCCAGGACAGTAACCTGCCGCTGAAGGAGAGGCATCCCTCCCACTGCTCTGTTAATACTGCCTGAAGTCTTCCCAATGAACAGCTTATGATGTTTATTTACTTTCCCAGATTTTGTTGCTGTTAATCCTGACTGAGGATATTTTTCCATTGATTTTTTTTAAAAGAGAGTGGAAGGGAGAGACAGAAAGAGAAAAACGTTGATGTGAGAGAGAGACATCAATTGGTTGCCTCCTGCACAACCCTGACCACAGCCAGGAATCGAACATGAGACCCTTTGTTTTGAGGGCTGATGCTTTTTTTTTTTTTTTTAAAGCTTTTTATTTATTTATTTTTTAAAGCCTTTTATTTTTTTTTATTTTTTGTTTGTTTGCAATTTTTATTAATTTATTTTTGTTACAGATGTTTATTTCCCCCCTTTCACACCCTCCTCCCAATCCTGCCCCTTCCCCCAGCATTGTTGTCTATGTCCATTGGTTACTCATACATGCATTTAAGTTCTGTGGTTTATCTCCCTCACCCCCAGACCCTCTCATGTCAGTCTGTACCCTACTTCTTTTTTTTTGTTTTGTTTTCTTTTTTTTTTTTAATCTTTATTGTTGGATGTAAAATGTATTACAGATGTTCCACATTTTTCCCCCCTTGACCCCTTCCTCCCCACTCCCGCCCCCCTCCCACCTTTTCCCACACTATTGTCTGTGTCCATTGGTTATGCATATAAGTTCTTTGGTTTATTTCTTCCCATCCTCCCAACCCCTTTCCCTTTGAGGTTTGTCAGTCTAGCAATGAATTTGTACTTCTTAATCCCTTCACCTTTTTCACCCATTCCCCCAAACCCCCTCCCAACTGGCAACCAACAAAATGTTCTCTGTATCTATGAGAATGTTTCTGTTCTACCTGTTCATTTTGTTTGTAGATTCCATTGTTGATAGATATGTATTCATTGCCTTTTTGTTTGTTCATATATTTTATCTTTTTCTCCAAAAAGACCCTTCATCATTTCATATAATAATGGTTTGGTGGTGATGAACTCCTTTAACTTTTTCTTGTCTGGGAAAGTTTTAATATGTCCATCGATTCTAAATGACAGCTTTGCAGGATAGAGTAATCTTGGTTGTAGGTTCTTGCTTTTCATCACTCTGAATATTTCTTGCCACTCCCTTCTGGCCTGCAAAGTTTCTTTTGAGAAATCAGCTGACAACCTAATGGGAACTCCCTTGTAGGTAACTAGCTGCCTTTCTCTTGCTGCTTTTAAGATTCTCTCTTTGTCTTGAACCTTTTGCATTTTGATGATGATGTGTCTTGGTGTGGGCCTCTTGGGGTTCATCTTGTTTGAGACTCTGTGTGCTTCCTGGACTTGTATGTCTATTTCCTTCCCCAAGTTAGGAAAGTTTTCTGCCATTATTGTTTCAAACAGGTTTTCGATTTCTTGTTCTCGCTCTTCTGCTTCTCGCACCCCCAAGATGCGAATGTTGGCACACTTGAAGTTGTCCCAGAGTCTCCTTACACTATCCTCATTTTTTTGGATTCTTTTTTCTTTTTGCTGTTCTGATTGGGCGTTTTTTACTTCCTTATATTCCAGATCGATGGTGTGCTCCTTGGATTTACGTACTCTATTATTGAAGCTGTGTAAATTATTCTTTATTTCAATTAATGCCTTCCTCAATTCTAACTGTGTATCCATGATTTCTAACTGGTCCTTTTTTATGCTCTTGAGGCCTTCCCTAAGTTCACTGAGGTTCTCACTAAGTTCATTGAGCATCCTTATAAGCAGTATTTTGAACTCAGTATTTGTTAGGTTGCTTATCTCCATTTCGCTTAGTTCTTTTATTGGGGTTTTGTTCTGTTCTTTCATTTGGGACCTGTTTCTTTGTCTCCTCATTTTGGCTGCCTCCCTGTGTTTGTTTCAGCTTATTACTTAATGAGAGGTATGGGGCTCGCTGAGACCAGATGCTCCTGGCTTGAAAGAATTTAGGAAAACCTGAAGCAGGATCCAAGACCGGCCAATTCTATGGTTAAGCAAGTGGCAACAGCTTGGGTGGGCTTGAAAGTTGGGTGGGGCGGGGCCGGGCCTCAGAGAGCCAGCAGGGCGGGGCTACCAGTGTGAGCCAGGTTGCTGGAGTCCCAGATGTGGCCACTGTCTGCCGCCCCTGGGAAGGGCTCACCAAAGGAACAAAGGCCTCTTATAGCACGTTTGTCCCCGAGAAAGCCCCCTCTCCAGCCCTCGCTCCGGTGCCAAACAGCTCAGTTCTTCCCTGCATGTCTCTGGCGCCCCTGGAGCTGTCGTGTGCCCCCCCCCGCCCCCGGCCCGAGCTTAGAGGGAGAGAGTCCAGTAAGTCCGTGCGCGGGCCCTTTAGGGAGCTGCCTGGGGCTCCAGCCGCTTCAGCTTCCCTGAGCCTCAGTTCTCGCTGGTTTTTCCAGCCAGAAGTTATGGGGATTCTCTTCCTGGCACTGGAACCCTGAGCGGGGCACCTGGTGTGGGACGGGGACCCCTCAGTTCTCAGGAAGGACCTTCCCAGCCGAGGTATCCTCCTGATTTTTATCTGCCACATGTGGGTGTGGGACCAGCCTGTCGCGCCTCTGCCCCTCCTATCAGTCTGGATGTGGCTGCTGCTTTAATTTCGTAGTTGTAGGACTTCCATTCAGCTTGATTTCAGGCGGTTTTGAATGATGGTGGTTCTGTAGTTTAGTTGTAATTTTGATGTGGTTGTGGGAGGACACGATATCGCGTTTACCTACGCCACCATCTTGACCCATCTGCTTTTTTTTTTTGGTACCTGCCCCTAGCAGGAACCGAACCCGGGACTCTCTGGTCCTCAGGTTGACGCTCCAACTGCTGAGCCAAACCAGCCAGGGCGCGATGCTCTTAACTGCTAGGCAGACTGGCCAGGGCTACTTTCCCAGATTTTTAAATTTAATTTTCAAATGGGTGGGTTTTGTGGTTTAAAAGCTGCAACATATAAACATACTTAGTGTTAAGTGTTGCCCCAAATTTGTCCTCTATCAGCTTCGATCTTACTCCACAGTAACCACTGTTCTTGTTTCTTCTATTTTCTTCCATAATTTTGTTTTATGTGTATAAGCAAATACAAATATAGACTCTTAATTTTCTGTTGTTTGCATGAAAGGTAATTTGCTCTACATAATTATGTACCTTTTTTTCATTTATTAGACCTTGGAAGTCTTTCCATATTAGTACATGGAGAACTTCTTCATTCTATGTTAGAGCCATGTCGTATTCTGTTATATGAAGGTCTACATTGTCTAACCAATCCCCTGTTCGTGGAATTTGAGTTATTTCTGCTTCCGGATTTTCAGACTTTACCTCTTCCTGTTCCTATGACCAGATTAGAGGAATTGGGTGTCCCTTAACTCCAGATTTTGCCTTTTGGTTAGTTATTCTTGGAGAAGAATATGTTTCAGCAAGGATCTCCCAGCAATAGCAGCTAAACCAAAAAATGAAAGCTCAGAGAACAAACTTCTGAAAAGAGAAAAGAGAAGTATATGGAGAGCCTTTATGGAACTGAAAGTGAACTAATCCCAGCTGTGTGTGTGTGTGTGTGTGTGTGTGTGTGTGTGTGTGAGAGAGAGAGAGAGAGATTTGGCTTTTGGTTTGTATAGCATCATGTTGAATATAGTAATTTTATATGGTCTATTTAGGACCATTAGAAATAAACTGTTTTATTGGTATATTTCTGTACTAAAATAAAATTGGAAGAGTGGCCACCAGGGTACTCTGAGATGTGAGGCTACAGACACAGGAAGGAGAGAACTGTGAGCAGTTTCAGTAACATGGAGCAATGTTTCCATACCAGGTTATTTTTGGTACTTCTTGTCTTACTTTTGATACTTCTTGTCTAGGATTCACGGTAGAGACAGCTTAGCATGGTGATTAAGGTTATAGGCTCTGGAGTCTTAGTGTCTAAGATCAAATCATATTTCTATTGTTTGCTAGCTTTGGTGACCTTGAAGAATTACTTAATTTTCCTGTGTTTTAGTATTCTCATCTGTATAATAAGGGTAATAGTATTACCTACTTCATAAAACTGTGTAAGCATCAAATGAGTTAATGCACGAAGTACTGGTAAATGTTTGCTGTCCTTATTATCATCTTGATCAACTGCTCTCCTCATTTCAGTGTTTTAATCAAATGGATTATTAGGTATGTTCTTAAACTTTGATATTACTCTCCTTTGAATCTATCACCTGTGACCAAACTGAAATGAAGAAAGACATTTCTGGAGTCCAGGATGAAGAACCTTATTTGCTTTCTTTCTCCCTCTAGGTGGTTTTCTGCATGGATCGTGCCCTAGAGTTTGCCCCTGCTTGCCATCGCTTCAAAATCCTCAAAGCAGAATGTTTAGCAATGCTGGGTCGTTATCCAGAAGCACAGTCTGTGGCCAGGTATGAAGTCAGGCTGGTTCTGCATTGAAAAGTCAGATTCCACTGGATGGGTGCTATCTGGTAGCTGTCTGTAAATAGGCCAGCTAGGGCCAATTGGACCCTCCTGGGACTTAAAGCCAAGGATTAGACTAAATTTGAAAACCCATAGGGAATATAGGTATATGGTAGGTAGTTGAGCTGTATGTGAAAGAACAGAGTCTGAATTTGTTTGGTTTTTATTTTTTAAATGTCATTTTCTGTCTACTCCAGGGATTTGGAAACGCTGTAAAAGGCCCTAACATACATTTTAAGCTTTGAAGGCTATGTGGTCTCTGTTTCAGCTGTTCACCTCGTCCATTTAGTGCAGAAGCAGCCATAGATAGTAGATAAATGACGTGGATTGGTGTCAATCAAATTTAATATACAAAAACTGGTGACAGTCATGATTTGGTCCTCTGGGCTATAGGGTGCTAGCCCCTATTTTAATAAAATTGTGAGATATAAGAAGTGTGTTAAAGACAAATGTAAGTGGTTTGGGAAAAATTCTTGGGAATGAGTCTATCTTAGACACATAGTCAAGAAAAAAAATCCTACAAATGATAGTAATGGTGGGGAGATACAAACCAGAGCTAAATGTGCCCTCTTTCTGGCTATTGCAGTGACATTTTACGAATGGATTCCACCAATGCAGATGCTCTGTATGTACGAGGTCTTTGCCTTTATTATGAAGACTGTATTGAGAAGGCGGTTCAGTTTTTTGTACAGGCTCTCAGGATGGCTCCTGACCATGAGAAGGCCTGTGTTGCTTGCAGAGTAAGTTCTAGGCACCCGATCTGTGTAGGAAAGAAAGCTTCCTTTTTGAACTTGTAAGAGAGTTGGAATGGAAGGTTTTAGAATCACAAAAATGTGATAGCTCCTCTTCCTGCCTTGCCAGGGTGCTTGGTCCTTTTATTAGAAATTATTTGAAGGGATCATTTGAGATCTTGCTTCCCAGCATATGTCATCAGGTTGGCTCATATACTCATATGGAAATTCTTTAAACTAAAAGATTTCAGGACTCCTTTATTTTAATTTTTTTTCTTTATTGATTTTTGAAGGGAGAGAGAGAAACATTGATGAGAAAACATCGATGGGCTGCCTCCTCCATGCCCCCCACTGGGGATTTGGCCCACAGCCTGGGCATGTGCCCTGACCGGGAATCAAACTGGTGACCTCTTGGTGCATGGGTGAGTGCTCAACCACTGAGCCGTACCTGCTGGGTAGGACTACTGTATTTTGCCTAAAAGTAAATGTGATCATATAGTTCAGACCCTTTTAATACCTAAGTGCTTTTTTCTTTTGTTCTTCCCTCAGTAAAGGAAAGGTAGTAATGCTTATCCTGGGAAGTAGAGGTAAACCCTGGGAAACACAGATCTCCTTGATATTCTTTTTTTTTTGGTACATGCCCATAGTAGGAACCAAACCTGGGACTCTCTAGTCCGCAGGCTAACACTCCAACCACTGAGCCAAACCAACCAGGGCTCCTTGATATTCTTTTGTAAATCTTGGTTTCTTCTGTCCACTCTGTAGGAAGCATAGTGAGGAACAAATAGCCCACGGCGTGGGGTGGGATGGGATGGGGGGCTGTGGTACACTGAACTACTAGGATCAAGAAATTGAAAATAGACTCTGGCCTCTGTGCAGTGGTCCGAGGCTTTCTGGATGTAAGCTGACCTCACCTTGCTTTTCTCTGTAGAATGCCAAAGCACTGAAAGCAAAGAAAGAAGATGGGAATAGAGCCTTTAAAGAAGGAAATTACAAGCTAGCATATGAACTGTACACAGAAGCCTTGGGGATTGACCCCAACAATATAAAAACAAATGCTAAACTCTACTGTAATCGGGGTACGGTTAATTCCAAGGTAAGCACTTGGTCTGGCTTTTGGGACGTATGGAGATATTTTTAAGGGGTATCGAAGAGGTCTTGGGAAATCTGCCCATGAGTGTAAACCTGAGGACAGGAGGAAAAGTTGATTGGTATCTCAGCTTAGTCGGAACTTCCTTCTCAGAGGCAAGCTTTTGTCTTTTCTATGGAACTTAGGGGCACTTGAGGGACGATTTGAAAGGATGTCCCCACTTGTTCTTCCTCACTGTCCTCTTTTTCCAGAGAATGACTAGAGCTTTGGGATAATTTTTAAATCAAGTACTTTTGCTTCTTTTTGCCTAAGCAAGTGATTCTTTAGGAGTGATTTGAAGGAAATGAGAATATGAGGTAGGTTTAGGGTTTTTCTTCAGCATAACTGATGTCACCATGCTCAGTTGAAAGTAGCCTGAGCTCCCCTGTGGTCCTATACACCATAGGAAACAAGAGTAGGCTCCTTGCAGAGTTCCAGTAGTTAAAAATCCCAGTAGTTATGATCCCTCTAGTTCAGTGGTTCTCATCCTTCCTAAATCCACGACCCTTTAATACAGTTCCTCATGTTGTAATCCCCAATCATAAAATTATTTTTGTTGCAACTTTATAACTGTAATTTTGCTGCTGTTATGTCTTAGGCGACCCTTGTGAAAGGATCGTTCGACCCCCCAAGGGGTTGCGACCCACAGGTTGAGAACCGCTGCTCTAGTTAGTCTCTGGAAAAATGGAGGGCAGGAACCACTCTTACTATTTCCGCGTCTTCATTGGGCACTGACCTGGAATAGTAGTGGTGTTTATGCAGATGAGTGTGCCTTGCTTTCATTACTTAGAAAAGAAACCAATTTAAAATTGTTGTCCTTAGCTCACTAAGATTCAGGCTTTCCCAGTGGCTGAGAACAAGTGTGACAGTTAGGAGCCAGCGTGACTGATCCTCTTAGAATTTTGAAGCCATGCTCACAGCTTCTGGGCTCCCTCAATCACCACCATGTGAAGTATGACTGCTCTCTCTCTCCTGAAGCTTAGGAAACTAGATGATGCAATAGAAGACTGCACAAATGCAGTGAAGCTCGATGACACTTATATAAAAGCCTACTTGAGAAGAGCTCAGTGGTGAGTGCCTCTGCTTGGTGGGGGGAAGAGGGAATTGCTGCTGGCCTGCCAGGGGAATTGCATTGTGGATGATGGAGCAGACCCAGGGATGTTGTGAGGTCATTTGGTCCTTCCCCCTGCCTCTAGGTGGGATTGTTCCAGCCCTAGACTATGTTTATAGACCTCCAGCGGAGGAGATTGCACAAGCTCCCTCAGTCTCCCATGCCTGTGTCTTACGCCCCTCACGGTCAGTAAGTTTTCTCTGATGCCTGACCCAAATACCTTTTGTTAAAGTTTAAATCCATTTCCTTTGGAGATTTTGTTTTGTGTTGTACACTTTTGCTCTAACTTGGCACAGTGCTTGGCACATAGTAAGTGCTCACTCAATAAACGTTTTGTTGGATGAATGTATGGTGCTTCGAAGAAGAATCTTGGAGACAGTTGAGAGTCTCGCTTAGCCTGTTTGTTCTGGATTAGAGAAGACAGTCTTAAACTTAGAAGGGATTTAATCTAGCTCAACTTTCCAGCAGTATGAGGAACCCCCTTTAGAAATAACCATCTGACCGGGTGATTTTCGAGCCAGGATATGCCTGCCTCTAGTGCCCAGATTTGCTTTCAGAGTTGGGGGTGTTCCCCAGCCTACTTGTTCATCTTCCTCTTGGACCCACCAGAGTCTTCTCTGTGCAGGACCATTAGCAAGAGCTAGGAGAGACCCCTCTCAAAAATTCATCTTTCTTTATTCCTTTCTTCCCTTCTTCCTTTCTTTTCTTTCTTCCTTTTTAATCCTCACCTGAGGATATGTTTAGAGAGAGAGAAACAATGATAAGAGGGAGAAACATTGATCAGTTTCCTCCCACCCACCTCCTGACCAGGGATTAACTCAACCTAGTTATGTGCTCTGACCGAAATCAAACCCGCAACCTTTTATAAGACAACACTAACCAATTGAGCCACCCAGCCAGGGCCACATTTTTTTAAAAATAGGAAAACTGTGTATGTGGGCAACTGTTTTTGTTTTTGTGAATTTCTAAGTAGATGACTTAAGTCTGACTAATAGATACATACAGAGAATAAAGATTCTGTGAGACCAACTATCAGTTATCTCATCTTTACAAACCACTGGCAGACAAATGTGGATGCTTTGAAAGACAAAAGAGAGTACCCTTTGACCCAGCTAAGACAGATACAAAATGCTATATACATATTTACTACAGTTTTAACTATTAATAGCAAGAAAGAATCACCTATATGTCTAGATACATGATATTATATCACACTTGGAATACTCTTCAGTGGCAAGAGAACACATTCTTGATTTGTTAAGAGGAGGATGGGATGGAGAATTATTGTTTCCATGTGTCTACAGTAAACAAAAATAGGAGTTGCTTTGATCAGACATTTCCTTCTCTTGGGTAGAAAGAGAACTGTCCTCTGAGTGGTCTTTGAGATCCCACCACAGAGGACAGCAGCACTGTTTGTCACAGTTGGCTAAGAATGTGGCAACGGTCCCCCCAAGCAGCTGTGATTAACAAGAATTGGAGATTAGCTCAGACCAGACCCTAACCAGAGGCCTATTGCCCCACTCTACTCAACTTACCCCTGGGGAGATGTCACATCTTTGCTGTGTCTCCCAATATGAGCTGGAGTTTCCTATTTTCCCTAAGGCTCTACTTAATTTTCTACTTTTTCTTCAACTTAGGAAAAATTTTAAATGTATGTCTTAGAATTTGCCTTTCCCGCACCCCACCCCCAGCCTTCACCGCACTGTTGTCTGTCTCCATGGGTTATGCATATTGTCCTAGAATTTTTTTAAATGAGTGAAGTAAAAATATAAATCACTGTAATACCAGATTGTTGAGCATATCGCATACAGGCCTGGAAAGTTCATCAAGGTTGCTTATTTGTCAGATCATTTTACACCCAGGGCTATCAGTTACCAATTTTCTTTTACTTCAGTATATTATACTTCATCCTGTACATGAGTTCTCTGAGCTTCCAGTAGCATCTGTGCCTGTGTCCGCAGGGCATGGTTTTGTCACCAGGCGTAAATTAAGGTGTTGATAGGAAGTCAGAGATGCCTCACCTATTAAGCTTCTCTTTGGCCAGCCACATGAGCAACACTCCCTCTGCCCTGGCCTCCAAACTTGGTGGGGCCTGGGGCTCTGTGGTGTTTGTGAAGGTGGGCTTGTGTGGGAGCTTTGGAGTAAATTGATTCTCTGTTGTGTAGCGGCCAGCTGCACCACATGGTCACTTCCCACTCCTCAGCTGATGGTGTCTGTCTCTACAACTCCTACCACAGTCTGTATAATCAGTAGGCCAGTCTTCGTGCCAGTGATCTTATCAGGACACAGAAGATGCCCCTCTGCTTCTGTGGAAGAAACACTTAAACGGTCTGTCAGTCAGCCTATCAAACTAGATTCCTCCCACTGTGGGCCAGAGCCCCTTCTTTTGCACTATCCAAATGGAAACAAGCCTGTTAAGTTTAGAGTGTCCTTTTCTGTTGCACCTACATCTCTCAGATTGATTGTTTTTGTTGTTGTTTTTTCCCTTTATTGATTTTAGAGAGAGAGGAAGGGAGAAGGAGAGAGAGAAAAAAACATCGATTGGCTGCCTTCTCAATGTCCCCCACTGGGGATTGGGCCCACAACCTGGGCATGTACCCTGACTGGGAATTGAACCGGTGACCTTTTGGTGCATGGGTTGATTCTCAACCACTGAGCCACACCAGCTGGGCAGATTGATTGGTCTTAATAGAAGCATTTGCCAGCAGCCACCACCTTGACCTTAATCTTTCTAGTGACTCACTAATCCCACTTTTATCCTGGATTGAAGCTGGCCCTGCATGTTTATGGCACTCTAAGTTTCAGAGCTTTTCCATATCCATTTATCTCACTTGATAATTTTTCTCATGTGTTTCAATCCCAATTAATCAGGTAGGTGCTTTCACATTTCCTTTCCTAAGGCAGGCCAGATACCTCTGGCAGCTCTGTGAAATCAGAAGGAACTTGATCCTCTTGGTTGCTGTCTACTCAGAGCAGAATATCATTTTTCAGTGCAAGTAGCATGAGACCTTTTTTTTCCCCTCAAAATGGTAGTTAATTTTTTTCCTCAAAGCTAACTTAAAGACTCCTGTTTTATGAAGCATCTCAACCAAAAGTCTGTGTCTCTTGCTTGAGCCATGCCTATTCCTCTAGAGTGATACTGAAGACCATTGCTATTTATGTCACTATACTGCCCTGTATTTCCTTCTCAGTTACATGGACACAGAACAATATGAAGAAGCAGTGCGGGACTATGAAAAAGTATATCAGACGGAGAAAACAAAAGGTAAAGGTGTTTGGGAGCATGCTTTTCAGGAAACTGTGGTCTTACTTGTAGACCCTAAAACTGGACACAGGAGTAATCTGATTCAGGGATCAGTGTTGTAGCTGGAGCTTATTTATCACCAGCCACGAAAAAGTGAACAGAAATCCTGAGTACAGAAGGAGGCACCTGTTTTCTGGTCCCAAATCTTCCCTGTTACTTTCACTTCCTTTTCTGTGTGATAAGGCTGATGTGAGGAACCCTACATATGAGTAGATTTTTTTTTTAATCTCTAGGGGGAAAAATACCCTAAAAGCCCTTGGTATAGTTAACAAGGCTTCTGGGCTGGGACCTGGTAAGGGAAGCCAGAATCAGATTTGTCCGTGATGCTAGATGTCTCCCTTTAGAACACAAACAACTCCTTAAAAATGCACAGCTGGAGCTGAAGAAGAGTAAGAGGAAAGATTACTACAAGATTCTGGGAGTGGACAAGAATGCTTCTGAGGATGAGATCAAGAAAGCGTATCGGAAACGGGCCTTGATGCACCATCCAGGTAGAGCGGTGGGGTGAGCAGACTCCATGGGAAGAGCAAGCTAGGCTGGCCCACTATCAAACTCAGTCCAGAATGAAAGCCTGAGGCTCTTCACTGGGAAGACATAAAGTAGTCTTTCTCTTAAACTTTTTTCTTGAGACTCTGAGGCGAGTTTCCTGTAACCACCCCACCCCACCCGCCCTGCCCCTTTAGATCGGCACAGTGGAGCCAGTGCTGAAGTTCAGAAGGAGGAAGAGAAAAAGTTCAAGGAAGTTGGAGAAGCTTTTACCATCCTCTCCGATCCAAAGAAAAAGACTCGCTATGACAGTGGACAGGACCTGGATGAGGAGGGCATGAATATGGGTGGTGAGTTGGTTGGGACAGCCTGAGATGAATCTGACAGCTGTGGAATTTTAGAATTTTTTCTAAAGATACTCCAGAAGGAGTGTCTATGTAATCAGCCAGAGATGCACAGTGATTCGTAAAGCGTACCCTTGATGAAGACCTGTGACACGTGAGGCACCATGATGGGTGCTGGAAATTACAAAGATGAATCAAACAGGTTTCCTGGGCTTTGGAAACCCAGTCGAGAGGTTTGCAAACTTCAGCCTGCAGATCAAATCTGACCCCTGATCTAATAGACATAGAATCCAATGAGTGCAGTCAAGTGTAGCAGATGCCCAGGGTGCAGATGGATACCAAGGAGTAAGCACTAGCAAGGTGGGGGGGCATAGAAGTGCAGAAAGTAAAACACCCTGGGAGTTGCAAGGCACCCTGTAGAATAGAGGGTGCGCGAGGTGGGCAATAGGGAGAGACGAGGCCAGAAAGTACCTGGAGCAGACCTCAGGCCTTAGGGACTGGAATAAGGAATCTGGGCTTTTCCTACTGAGTGGAAGTTCTTTTGTTCTCCACTGCAAAATGTATGCTGATATTTATGTGTGTCATGCATTCCTGTAAGCCCTCACAGATTTTAATTTCCCCAACAGATTTAGAATGAAGTAAAGCACAGCTATCAGCACCATTACTAGCGGTTAGTTCAGTGATAAAAGAGGCCTTGAACTTTGCCCTCTTCTCAGACCACTGTCTCTAATGCCAAGCCTTTCTGTTAGAAAAACTGTTGGAATTTAAAATAAATTTGATAATGATAGTGTACGGAGAGAAAGAGAAACCTAGGTTTACTGGTAATAAACATTGCTCAACAGTTGAGAACTATGATTTGTCAAAAGCTATTGAAGGGTTTTAAGTACGGGAGCTATGGACCTGATTTAGGGTCTAGAAATACATTTGTGATAACATCAAAGAGAGGCGATTTGGAAGGAGAGGGTAGCAATGGAGGGAAGACACAGTAGATAGGAAAGAATTGGAGGGCACAGTTGGGAGATAGTGGTGGACTCAGTAGAAATTGGTTAGTGAATGTGTTGGGAAAGGGGAAGGACTAAGTTGAGAGTGGCTTTGGCATAGCAGACTCAGTGGGTCCATTCACTGAGCAAGGGGACACACCCAAGCAGATGGAACAGACGTGCTGGCAAAGAATTCACTTTTGGACATAGTGTGCCTATGGGATTCACTGGTGGAGATAAATCTTTCTGTGCAGCTTAGGAGGTCAGGTGGGGGTTAGGGACACCAGACCTGCTGGAGCCTAGTGACAAGGGCACAGTGCTGGAGTCAGACAGAAGTTGGAATTTTCAGTTATTTTGCTTTTACTGTCCATTGTGATCTTGGGCAAATTACTTGAGCTCTCCCTACTTACGTTTTGTTGAGTATAAATTGGTAATACCCTGACAAACTGTTACTAAGATTAAATGATATCATGTATGCAAAGTACCCGGCACCATGATTGGCACCTAGTAGGTGCTTTAATAAACCACAAGTTTTCTGGAATACAGTTCAGACAGCATAGAATCAAAGATAACAATGAATCGTAGGTCTTAACATTTAAATTTCTTGGCAGTATGTAAATGATAAATTTTAGCATTTTCAGTAGCAGCCCTAGCATTATAGGGAGACCGTGTGTGGTAAGTCTGTCAATGAGTGCAACTGGCATTCCCAGTTGTGGAAAATTGAGGGCCAGCGAAGTGGGTTAAAGCAAAGAACACTCTCTTTTGGGACTACACTTGGAAAACGAAGGGAACATAGCCCAGGAGTGGGATCAAGTGGTAAGTTTTTCAGAGTGGGGCAGATGTGCTCACCTCTGAAGTTTTGGGAGTGGAGGGAAGTGATACTATCTGGGAAAGCTTTGGAGACCCATTCTCATTGTGATAAATTCTCCTTCGAACACTTACTTTTTTCACCTTTTTGTTCCTTCCTGTTTCTCGCCTTCTCCACAGATTTTGATGCAAACAATATCTTCAAGGCTTTCTTCGGTGGTCCCGGGGGCTTTAGCTTTGAAGGTGGGTATGCCTGCTGTTCTTGGGAGTTCCCTATCACAAGTTGACACAGTGACTCCCCCCCACCACCACCACCCCGTTAGGCAGCTCTTTAAGAATCAGGGGGTCTCATGAGTGGAGACAGCTAAATTCTCGTCTAGTAGGGCCTTTGTCCACTCAGGTGTTGCTGAGGATGGCAAAGGGGAGCTTCCTGGGGGCACACCTTGCCTTGGGACCATTATCACCATACCTTCACAGGGTCAGGGTGGCATCCCTAAGCCACCTAGTACTGGGGCTTGTGTGTGTGAGGGAAGGTGTCATAAGCCACATACACACAGCATGCTCATGTACTTGCTCCCTTACACCCAGGGCCCAGGCTGTTTGATACCCTTTGAGCTTTTTCTCTGACTTTAAAGCAATCCTTGGAGACTCTTCTATAACCAGAGCAAAGTGATCTTTCCTAGAAAACCCAGAGTCAACTAACGAGCCCTTCTTTCCCTTACAGCATCTGGTCCAGGGAATTTCTTTTTTCAGTTTGGCTAATGAAACCATCCAGAACCCAGAAAATGCAGACTTGCTCAGTTTAACCTTGAATGTGGACACAATTCACCTCCTCCCTTCATCATGTCTCCATGTGCTTAGAGCAGTTTCGTTTTCTCAGTTGGATGCCCTGTGTCTGTGAGTGGGGTGAAGGAAAGGGAGCCAGCGCCGAAGACTGCGGGTAGGGGAGGGAGACGGGGGTGGAAAGGGAGGCAGCTTGTGAATTTTTGTTTTACTGTTTAACTTTATTAAAAAAGAAAAAAAAATAAGTGAATGGAATGTTTTGACCTTTCTGGCACTTTGCTCTGGTAGCTGCTTTGCCAGAGCTGAGCCCCCAGCACAGGACTGAGACTCAGCAGGCCTGCCCCACAGGGGTGTGGGTACCCAGAGCCTGGTGGCAGGTGGGGGGCTGGGTATGCTGCTGGGCCCAGTCTGATGTCAGGCATAGGGAATTGAATTCAGAAAATGTTTATTTTATGGTGGGGGCCACCAGAAATCACTAGAAGCTGTGTGTGTCCAAAGCTTACATAGAGGATGGGTGGATGTGAAGTGTCAGGCCAGGCTAACCTAGTAGAGGAGGTTTACATAGACTGTCACAGTCCCTGTTGCCAGTGCAGGCTTGAGGGATATGGAAACAAGGTAAAATCCTGCCTCCCCGACCCTCAGGCCCTTTCCCCATGAGACAGGCAGCTCCTGGGCACAGGTATCTGGTTGTTGACATTAGCTCACACAGAAACATCATTCTTAGCAAATGCCCTTGCTTCTCTACTAGTTCCCCTTTCTGCATGGGAGGCAAGCTGGGGAAGGAAGCCATGGTGTATGTCATGCTGGTCAGGTCAAGCTTAGTGTTTGTGATGAGAAATCTTGTTGGGATTTCCAGGCAGACACTAGTCTTTGACTGAAACTTAGGTTTTTGGTGCTTTGGTGGTTGAGATGGTGGGACAGACCTTGGACCAAATAAGTAACATGATCTGTCTTGCTTTGGAGCCCCTGCCCTGTTCTTTTCCAATATTCCCCCTTTGGTGCCATGGCCATGGCTAAGTGATGCCTAATTTAGGCCCAGGAAATTCCTATGTCGCTGTCCAGGCTCTTGTTGGCTGGAAGAAACTCTGAATCAAGCCTTCCCTTATGTTTGAAGCAGCACTGACCTGAGGGTAGCCTTCCCCAGAGAACTGGGGAAACCCACACTAGGAGTTTGGGGTCTTGCTTCTCTGAGAAGTCTTTCTGATTGGGCTGGGCTGGGCATACCTGTTTGAGTAGTTACAGGGGGTGAGAGGTTCTGTGCTCCATGTCCCTCATACCCAGCCAACCCCCCACTTTGTGTGTGCATCTAAGACCAGCCTCTCTCCTTTCTGCCTCCTCATGAAAGCCAACACTGTTCAGCTGCCCAGCCTCGTCACAGCTGTGCCCAGCCAGCAGCGGGGAGACAGGACCGATGGCCCCAAGCTGTGGGACAAAGCCAGTCCTAACACCCAGCCCTTGCCCCAGGGAAAATAAGCTGGGCACAAAAGGGTGAGAGAGACTGCACACAGCTAGGATTAACATGATTTATTTTATTATCAGTCTTACAAGTTGCTGAGGTTGGGCACAGCCAGGATGATAACTCAAATCCCAAGCACTTTTTGTTGAGTGACAACCTAATTAGCAAGGCCCTGTCACTGAGCAGGTGGTAGTGGAGGGCACCCCAGGAACCACAGACCATGTGGCAGTGTTAAAAAACTCCTTCCCAAAGGCACCGGGTGGAGCTTAGCCCTTAACAGCTAGGAGTTCACTCCACTAGTACCCAACCAGGCTCCTTTAGAGGAGGCACAGCTGCCTCCAGACGCACCAAGGAGGCAAGATGGGCTTGGCACACTGCATGACTGGAGCTTCCCCACTGAGCATCGTCTCTGGCCCCGGTCTCCCATCCTTACAGCAGAGCCACCACTGGGAAGGATGGCCACCCCATCCCTTTCCTGGGGTGTGGCTGCTGCCTGCTGTTCTGTTTTCTTCCCTAGTTATCAAACTGTTACCTAGTTACATTGTGAAGAAGGAAGGGACAGGCACTTAGGACCCAAGGTGGGAGGTAAATCCCTTTTTCTACCCTGGTAAATAGCCTCAGCTTTCCTGGGGCTACACTGATTAAGAAATAGGATCAAGCCTATGGATCCTCCCCTCTCACATCCACCTCATGTTCCATGGCTGTAGGGACATGGAGTCCTTCAGTCTCTCACTAGCCAGCTCCAGGCAGGGCTGTGGATTTGAGCTGGGGTGCTAGTAAGTGAAAGCAGGGCTCATGGTTGTGGCTGCAGCACCAGGCCCAGCCTTACCAGTTCTAATCCAGATTCCTGAATGGTACCTGCCCCCCGCCCCCGCTTTATGTTGAAAGCCTGAATGTTAGACAAGAGGAGGAAAGGCAGAAAAAGAGGGAAGGTTATTTTACAAGTTTTTAAAAAGTTACAGGAAGGTTAACTGAGTAAAAAAAAATCTTAAAGATCAAGCAGAGGATATGCTTCCTTCTCCACCCCCTTCCCTTCTAAAGAGGGGCAGACGAGGGTTGGTGGAATACTCAGTAGATGGTGCAGGACTGAAAGGCACCCCCCCTGCGACTGCCATGTGTGGGCACAGGTTTGCCCTTCCCGTAGTAGCCCGTGAAGATGGTCCTGACCTTCAGCTTCTTGGTCAGGTTCAACATCCAACGCCCACTACCCAAGGAAAAGAGCTTGCCCCGGGTTAGCTCACCCACCTCCTCTCGGCTGCCCCCCTTCTGCTGCACAATCTCCAGGAGGTCAATGCCAGTCTGCACGGCCTCCACGTCATCCGCGCAGCCTAGGGTGATGTGTGCGCGGCTACCCCGGGGCAGGCTGTCAGTGGGAGACAGCTTGTCCACATCATTTGGCCACAGCAGCAGCTCCTGTTCACTCAACTCCACCTGGGCTCCTGCCGTCTTGGGTGTCACAAAGAGGGCAGAGATGGTCAGCGTGAAGGCCTTGGAGTAAGACTTCTTCACCACCTGCGGAGAATGAGAATGAGTCCCATGCTAGAGGTGGTGGCCCCCAGAGAGGACAGCTGCAGAGGGTGGGTCTGACAGGTGAGTACAACCGAGCAGAGCCCTTTAGTAAAGGTACATCACCCACAAACATCCCTAAGAGACAGCCTGTGTGGTGTGGGGGTGTCTTTCCACTGACTTGAGGCTGATGTGAAAAAACCAAGATGCCAGAGAGGCAGGGGTTCAAAGCCAGACTTCCTGAGTTCAGAAGCTAGTCCCCCTTTATTAGCTGCTGGGCAATGAACAGCTTTTGTACCTTTGCGTTGGCTTATTCACCTGTAAAATGGGAATGACACCTGCCTCCATGCGACTGGGTAAAGAGCTTACAACAGTGTTGGGCACATAATAAGTGCTACTGTCATAACTACTCAGCTCACCCTGGTAATAGCCACCCTGTAACCAGTTCATGTCCTGGAGGGCAGGGCAAGGTGAGAAATAAATGCATTTGAGCAAGATCTCTACACCTTGGTTCACATCTGATTGCACATCTGGTTATATCTGATTCTCTGAGAAAGCCTGTCTTGCATTTGACCATAAAAGCTTCTCTGTTTTTGCTCACAATCTGTTGTCCCAGCAGTGTTTAGCACATAAAAGACACTTAACACGTACTGCTAAACGAATTAATAGTTAGAGATGGTAGTAGAAAGTATTACACACTTATTCATGCAGCTATGCTAAGTGCTAGGAATAGAGGTGAACCTAAATAAAAAATGCACACCCTTGGAGATCATCTATTCGAGTGAGAGGAGACCAATGACCATATAAGTAAACTGGCTACATTAACTCAGGCAGAGGAGTGGGGAGAGATGGGTGGAGGATCAGGGAAGGCCTTGCTGAGGAGGTGACCTGAAAAAGGCTAGAGACAGCCATGTGTATCCGGGCAACAGATCACCATGTCAGAGGCTGTGGGAGAGGATACCAATTGTGAGGTGAGAAAGGAACTGGTACCCCTAAGCCAATAAGCCTCACTATCCCTGGACACTCCCTACTCTGGGGCAAGGCCAGGCCTTAGACCTGAGGACAGAAAGAGACCTCAGAGCACCAGGCTCTCTCGAGACAAGGGCTCCTAGCCTTTGGGACTGAACGCAGGCTTACAGAGGCCAGAGCAGAAGTCTGCTCCCGACTAGCATTCTCCATTAATTTACAGAACCAGCACTGGTAGGCAGGCCTAGGAAAAAATGCAAAGGCTGGCAACACTGCCAGGTGGGCCCCAGAAAGGGCGCTTGAAGTCTATGCAACAGCCATCCAGAAGAGTGAGCTGGAGAAGATGTCATTTTTCTTGAGCTGGTTTCCGGTCCCTGCCTTAAGCCAGTACCCACCCCTCGGAACCGTATCCCCTCCCCACCTCCACTGGTGTCCCTGAGGAGCACTCACATCCTGCTGGGCATACTCCTCTGCTCCGGCAGCCTTCCCGTAGTCACAGAACTTGGTTGTGCAGTGCAGCACGCCCGGAGGTCTCTTCCCAAAGTAGGAGACCAGGTCAACCTTCTCCCTGGGTTCATCCCCAGAGATAACTGCAGGGAGAGAGAGTGAGGTCATCAGGACAGGAGAGCAGGAGCATCCTAACATCTATCACCAAGACCATCGAGACCCAGAGGCAAAAAACTGAACATTAAACATAAATTCTCGAGCCCTGTCCCAGGTAACTTAGTTGGTTAAAGCGTCATCCCGATATGCTGAGGTTGTGGGTTTGATCCCAGGTCAAGGCACATAAGAATCAACCATTGAATGTATAAATGGAACAACAAATCGATGTTTCTCTCCCTTCTCTAAAATCAATCAATCAATAAATAATTTTTTTAAAGCATAAATTCATGCCCTGGCCAGTTTAGCTCAGTGGTTAGAGTGTCAGCCTTCGGACTGAAGGGTCGCAGGTTCAATCCAGGGTCAAGGGCATGTACCTGGGTTGTAGGTTCAATCCCCAGCCTTGGTCTGGGTCCTGAGGGAGGCAACCAATTGATGTGTCTCTCTCACATCAATGTTCCTCCCTCTTCTCCTCCCTCCCATTCTATCTGAAAATCAATGGGAAAATATCCTTGGGTGAAGATTAACAACAAAAAAGCATAAATTCATTTATTCATTGGTTGGTCAAACTAATAGCAACCCCAGGGCTATAAAAAGGTGCTTAAATTCCCTGGCTTTATGTTAGGTAGATTTGTACATGTTATCCCCAGACGGGAACACTAGGCACTTGAAACCCAGAGGAAGGAAGCAAGCCAAAGGAGTGAGATTCACCAGCATCACATCTATAAGAAGAACCCACAAGTCATGAAAAGTGGGGTAGAGAAAAAAAGATGGTTGGGAACTGTTGATACAATGGAAGGAGCCAGAAAGAGCATAACTGACATCCTAGTCCACTTATGAGCCGTTTGACCTGGGTCAAGTGATTGACCCTTATCTGTAAATGAAGTACAATTAGGGTGATCACACAACCCAGTTTTTCCATAACCACCCAGGTAACTATTACTAGCATCCTATTTCACCCAGTGGGGTAGTTACCTGGTCACCACACTATGCTTTGTACCTTGCAGGCTTGTTTGATGGGTGAGAGCCTAAACAGGCCTGGGATGTAATGTGTCTTGGGATATAATGGGATGACATGTGGCTGGTAGAAATTGTGATTTAAATTTCCAGACTCCAAGCCTCGTGACTAGCTTCAAAGTCACTAGGGTTTTCCCTGTTTATTCCCAGAATCAAGTACCTGCAAGGATGTCACTCACTCTCCCCAGGGGTGGCCTCTACTCAGAGCAGGCCTTGTTCTTGGCCCAGTACATTTCTCCTGCTGTATCCTGGGCAGAAGAGGATTCCAGTTTATAATGGTAAAAAGCAGCTTCAAGAGGCAGTCGCTTTCTAGGGCAGAGCCACCAGCTCTAACCAGGAGCCCTGCTTCTGGGGTGCTTTTCTCTCAAGCTAGTCACAGACAGGACTCACACCTGGCCAGTGTCACTGCAGGCTCCACCATTTCCAGGTGTCCTAGCATTCAAGCTTTAGGAGCAGAGCAGAGTTCTTTGAGAACATATACAGGCACAGACTACCTGCCTCTGAGCAACAAAAATATGGGGGGGGTCGGCAACATTTCAAGGATGAAGATAACCTGAAATTGGGAACTAGAAATGGATTAAAGAGATAGGTGGATTAGTGGGTGACATACCCCCAACAGGCCACTACAGAAGAATGAAGGCCACCAGAGCCCTTACTTATCCAAACCTACCCCTGGAGCAAACAGCCCTTGTCAATAGAAAACCCTGGGGAGGCCCCTGCTGGAGTAGACAGCACAGGATCTCACTATGGCTTTAGGCAAACCCTACATCCCTTCTGGGCCAGTTTTCCATCTGCAAAACAAGGGCATTTGGATTAGGTGGAGACTTCTTTGAAACATGGGATGCCACAAGGTGCACTGGGTAGCCCAAGGCCTGAGAACCATCCTCAGTGAAGTCTCAATAGTCCAAGTTATAATGTTTTTGCAGCATAGGATTCCGCAGAACATTTTATTTTAGAAAAATGGTTCTCCTGCTAAAAATGAGTTTGAAAACATTGGACCAGATTCTCCTTCTAAGCCAGTGGTTCTCAATCTTCCTAATGCCACGCCTCTTTAATACAGTTCATGTTGTGATGACTCCCAACCATAAAATTATTTTTGTTGCTACTTCATAACTGTTATTTTGCTACTGTTATGTCTTAGGCAACCTCTGTGAAAGGGTCGTTCGACCCCTTAAGGGGTCGCGACCCACAGGTTGAGAACTGCTGTTAAGGTTATATGAAATGCTGACATATTTTTCTGTTAGGACAGTAATTTGTTTTTCCCACCTCTAAGACAGGTTTCAGTAGTCTAGATTCCCCTGGGAGAGGGGAACTGCAGAGAAGAAAGGGTTAAATGGGAGGGAAGCACCTCTCCCCATATCCAAGGCTGTGCTCCCACTACCCAAGGCTACCCACACCTGGTACTAGACGAGCCTCCACCTGCCTTTCCACTCGCTCCCTGTGATTTCAGCGAGTGGGCCTGTGCATGCAGCACCGTGTGCACAGCAAGGGGCTTATGAATGAGGCTAACTGCCCACACCCTGCCCACCCCACCACCTACAGTGTCTCAGCTCCTTCTTGAAGGCCTTATGGTTCCCCAGCTCATCCAGGAAGGCCTGGCCAGCTTTTCGGAGACTCTCAGAACTCTTCTTGGTCAGAAACCAGCCGAAGTAGAGTGGCAGGAAATCCTTCTCCAGCACAGGCTTCAGCTTCTTCAGCTCATCAACTGACAGCCCCCACTGGTTCTTCTCCTTGAGCTGGGTACAGTCCAGCCTCCACGCTGTCTTGGGCTCCACCAGTACCACCTGGTACTGGTACTGGTCGGCTATTTCAAAGAGCTGCTCCAGCCGCTCCCGCTCATGGTTGGTGTCATCCAGCACAAGGACTCGGATGTCCCGGCGGCAGCAGTCAACCAGGTCCTTGTCCAGCCGCTTGTACTCCTCGGAGAAGCCTCCTTGAGCCGGGGTGATCTTGTAAGTGTCAGCAGACACCGTCTTGGTGCTGTCACGGTACCTGTCCGTGATGATCCGTGCCAGAGTGGACTTGCCACTCCCTGGCAGGCCACGCAGGATGAAGAGCGTCTTGCACTCTTGCAGCGTGCCCACTGTCTCCTCATCCTGCAGGAAGGGAAACTGCAGCTCAGGCTTGTCCTTGGCCCCTGAGGATGACATCTTGCGGAAGAAGATCTTGGGCAGGAATGTATGGCTCTTTCGAGAGAAGCCTCTATTCTGTGTGAGGAAGGGAAGAGCAGATATCAGCCAGGTCACTTGTGGCTCCCTTGCGCCCTTGTCTCTGGCTTTGCTCTAACATGGAACCCCTCCCTGCTTGGAGCTCTCCAGCCCTGAGCGCTGTGGTCCCTCCCAAGCAGTGAAGTGTAGTGGATTTTCTCTCTTCTGTACTGACTGCTTCTGGTTGTGGAGGATGAACAGCAGGCTTGTCTGAGCTTTCCTAAACTCTTACTTTCCTCTAGTCAGAGCTGTAGCCCCATGAGTAACCCACTGCCGCCACGTCTAAAGAACAATGTGCTGGAGGTGCGTACAGGGAGGGCCTGAGGCTGTGGTTCTAGAGCAGACCCCCTAATTTTTATATTTTCCGCACCTATTAAGGAAAACTTCTTTGGAGGTAGGCGTCTTATGTCTGGGCACAACCACAGCTGCCCTGGCTCTGAGTGTGCTGAGGAAGGTGTGGGTGCAGAAGGGTTACCCAAAGACTGCCTCCCTTCCCCCAACAATGGTAGCAACAGATAATACTCTCTTGTCTGGGACAGGGGGGGGACAATGGTCCCACAGAAGGGCTGCTGGGGGGCAGGGCAGGAGAGCACTGGACAAAGGGCCTCATTCACCACGCGTGCCACCTCCTCCCCTCTGCTCCGGGCTCCCCTCAAAGTCCTGGTCTTTGTGCCTGCACCAGGACTGGGCAGTACCGGGCACCTGCGTTCCGAGTCTAGCTCTACCCACCACTTTGCTGTGTATCACAACACCTCTCTGGGCCACTTGATTTCCTGCCAGCTGAAAACCACAAGTGACAACAGTTTTTACTGTAAACTGCCTTCTCTTCACCAGCTCCACCTCCCGCCACCACCCTGAGATGAGCTGGCACACTGTGGTCCCAGACAAGGCCCTGGGGCAGGCGAGGAACGCCCGCCCGGCGGGAGTCACACGCCATCTGGTCGCGGCTCCTGAGCCCCTTCCTCTTCCAGCGGCCCCCCACCCCAGCCGGTCCCACTCTCCTGGCCGCTCCCTACCTCGGGGCGCACCAGCCCACCAAGAAAGGCTCAACTCAAGTCCGGAACCGCGGCCTTATTTGCATGCCACTTCCTCCCGAAAATCCCCCAAGGCTCCCGTTTTCCACCAAGGCGCTACCCCGCGCCCGGCCCGCTTCCCGCCTTCCGGCCTGCGCCTGCTCACCATGATGGGGACGGGGCGCCGTCGCCGCCTTCGCAGGCACTAGCTCCCCGAGGCCGCCCGCCTGCGCGGAGGGACACGGAGTCTGGCAGAGCGCGACCCCGGGCCGGGCCGCCTTACATAGCCTGGGGGGCGGAGCGCCGGGGAGGGGGCCGCGGCGTGCCTCGGCTCTGCGCAGGCGCAGCAAATCGAAACCCGAAACTGACCAGGCGCGGGGTTGGGGCTGCAGACCAGGGCGTGCGCGTGGGAGCGGCCGCCTACCGAGGCGCACACCTGCGGCCCACCTGTGAACCGTGTACGAAGCCACAGCAAGGGGTGTGGGGGTAGGGGCTTTTCCCGCCTCTTTTTTTCTTCCTTCCTTCCTTCCCTTCCTTCTTTTCATTTTTATAGCCTCGTTTTTCTTGTAGGTGTTAATGATGAGTTCTGTTTTATTATTATTATTATTATTCTTACCCTAGGACATTTTTGCATTCACCTTCAGATAGAGTGAGAGGGAAAGAGGGAGGAAGAGAGAGAGAAACATCATCCATGTGAGAGAAATGAGAGACACATCCACTGGCTGCCACCCACACGACCCCACCCGGGCCGGGGACAAACTGCAACCGATTCGTGCCCTTAGTGGGAACCAAACCCGATCTCTCTGGTCTGCCGGCTGACGCCCTAACCACTGAGCCAAGCCGGCCAGGGCAATAATGAATTCTTTAAAGAGGAAAACAGTCACCCTTCCCCAGAATCAGGGTCGCAAGTGCAAGGTCAGATCCTGTCTTTATATAAAATTTTGATTTAAAAACTTTTAAAATTTTTTCCTTTATTGTTTTAGAGAGAGAGGAAGGGAGAGGGAGAGCTAGAAACATGGATGAACGAGAACATCCATTGGCCGCCTCCTGCATGCCCCCCACTGGGGATTTGGCCCACAACCTGGGCATGTGCCCTGACCGGGAATCCAACTGGTGACCTCTTGGTGCATGGGGTCGATATGCTCAACCACTGAGCCACACCAGCTGGGCAAAAATTTTGATATTTTATTCATCATGGGTCTTTGCATTATTATTATTTTTTTTTTACAATATCGCATTAAAATACTGTTTAATCTTGCTGAGTTTTTTGGCACCCCATGAAATGTTGCAGCTGAAATACCTCACTTGCCTCACCTAGTCCTGGCCCTGTCCCAGCCTAACTTCAGCCTCAGCCCAATCCTTCTGGGAATTGTGGAGACAGAACCAGGATGGCAGTGGCCAAAGGGACAGATGGATAACCTAATGAAGTTCTAACTCATGCTCTAAGGCAAGCTCCTCAGCCGCCACTCCCTCTGTGAAGCTACTGAAAGCTTGGGTGGATTTTCAAGAGCTGCCTGTGCACTCATATAATTCTCACAGCGACCCCTGAGGCAGGTACCCATTCTACAGAAAAGGAGACGGGTCTGACTTACTTGACCATCCTGGCAGAGGCAGCACAGGTGGCCCAGCTCTAGCTCCTACTCCCAGGTTACTTCCTGTTCTTGGGCAGGAACCTTTTTAATTCCTCTGGGCTCCTAGAGCACAGTGCCCCTATCATTCTGCTTCCCGGCCTTCGGGATTTACAAGTGGGTCTCCCTCACTGAGGTTAGGGTTGAGGCTGTCACATCATTATTTCTTCCACAGAGCCTTCCACAGTGTGCTGCAGAAAAGTAGGTACTCGGCTGGGTGAACCAATGGCCAGCAGCTGGGCAGACATACTTCTTCCTAGGCCCTTCTCTTTCCTCCCCCCTTTAAGCTGACCTGGTTCTTAGGGCTCACCTGTTTCTTCACCCTTTTGAAACTTTCTTCTTAGCACCTTTCTCTTTCTTCCATAGGGTCTTTGGACAGGGCCTGGGGGAGGGGACCACACTTCACACCTTGATCGCACTCTGGGTCAGGCTTTGATTGGGGGCCTCTGTGTTTCTCACGCATCAGGGTAAGGTCAGAGTTCTGCTTGGGAAGTGCTACCCCATGCTAAGTCATTCATTCTCTAAGGCTCTTCTGAGAATGGGCGGGGGGTAAGGAGGCAAAATGATAAACTCAGGATTTGTAACAGTGAAAGGTATATTTAAAGGGAAAACAGTATCAGAAAGAGGCAGAGGTGACCTGTGGGGCCCAGGCCACATTTTTTCCTACTGAAAAAAAATCTCAACTGGAAAGTCTAGCTTAATAAGATCCCCCATGGTCCCTGTAAACACCAGCCTTCTGATCCTAATGCTCACTAACAATAGCTTCATTCATCTTCCTCTTCATCTTTTTCCATTTTTTCAGCACTTTCTGTTTCCAGTTCTCCCAGTTCTGTTTCTCCCAGTTCTGTTTCCCCCAGTTCTTCCAACTCTCTTCTGTTGGCTTCTGAAACCCTCTCCTCTAGTCCTTCCAATTCCTTTTGGATTAATTCTTCTGTGAGTTTCTGGTCCAGATCTGAAGGCCTCCTGTAAATTTCTCTTGATTCTCTTCTGCTCAATTCTGATGCTGTTCCGTCTGCTTCTCCTAATCTTATACCTAGTTCTCCGGACAGTCTCCTGGCAGTATCTCTCAGATCTCTCCCCTTGGCTCCCAGTTCTGTTCTTGAGGAGCTGGTTTTTTCTAGTCCTGTCTGCCCATTTTCTAACTGTCCACTCGCTGTGATGCTCAGAGCTTCTTCGTTAGACAGCTCATCTGTATCTTTCTCACTGTCAGTTTGCTCTCTTTCCCACTGCTTCACCACCTTCTCGGGTTCATCTTTTGCTCTTCCCCTTCTTTCCTTCTCCTTTACAATCATTGTTGTTTTATCCAATGCAGCAACCTCTTCTGAAGAACAAGAGGGAGGAGGAGAGAAAGGGAAAAGTTTACCCGTCTCTGGGCCTGGGTGAACCTCAGCCTGTGGTGGCGTGTGCTTCTAAGAGAAGCGCTCTCCAAAAGGAGAGAAAACTCACCCATTACTGAGCACCAGCCCTGTTCCAGGCAGCGTGTGCGCTGCACAGACCATACCATTCAGTGGTAAGTGCATAATGCCACTGATTCGAGTTTGCAGTCAAGGGAACTGAGATTGATAAAGAGAATTCACATTGCAAATAAATGCAGTCAGAATTTGAACCCAGGACAGTCTGCTCCCACAGAACAATCTTTTTCCCTATAAGAGATAGCACAGGTGCTGGGAAAGGACAGAAGGGGTCTTTTCTCCAGAAACACCCTCATTCTGTGTTTCTCTTTGTCCCTGGGAAGCACATCTCATGCTTTGTTGGGAGGTTCCCTGTAAAAAAATATGAGCAGACTGCTAGCAGCAAGTTCAGCTGCAGAGCTACTTTATAACCACGAGAACCCTTGCTCCTTGTTTTGACCAGCTACAGAGAAAAGTCACCAATCTCCTCCTAAGTCACCCCCACATTCTCTTCCTGGAAGCCCCTCGTCCCTAAGGTGCCTACAGGGGCTCTGGGTTCACAGCTGGAAAAAGGCTGCCACTGAGTGGTGAAGACAGGCAATGGTGCCACCTGCTGCTCTGGGAGGGAAGTGCCTGCCAGCTGCCACTGGCCCGGGGCTTCCCTAGGAGTTTTCACAGGGGTACCTCCCGCAGCACCTGGCCTGCCAAGGTTGGCAAGGGCAGTGTGAGGGGGCTGTTCCGAGCACCTGCCGTTTCCCAGCTGGTACCTTCACGTGTTGCTCTGGGGCTTCTGAGAGCAGCTCCAAGGCCATGTGGGGCTCTGCCGCTCTGAGGGGGTCTGGCCACCACATGGCAGGCACTGGTTAATAAAGGGCTGCTCAGGTGCCCACAAACTCCACACCCAGAGTCCCACTACCATGTCTGGATCAGACAGGGCTTCAGCTCCGCCCTCTTGGCTGCACAGAGAAACTGCAGTATGGCTAGGGCACCACAGAAGGGCAGACAGAGGCTGTCTTGTCACCAGGAACAGTGTAGAACCCTGGTAAGAACCTGGGTTCTAGAGCCAGGATGCCCAACACAGAAAACCACTGTAGGACTTCAGCCCCTCTGCCTCCATGTCATCCATAAAATCAAGCGAACATAATACTTATTTCATAGTGTTCTTGCAGGATCAGACGGGTCAGAACATAGTGTATAAAGAAAGTCTCAGGAAGAGTGCCTGGCACATAGGAAGCATTCAATGGAGATCAGCTTTTCTTATCACCCATCCCCTCTGGGGTCCATCCCTAATGACTTGGTGGGGTCTGGGGTCCCGGAGTCCCAGCCACGTCCTCTTCCCTCACTTCCTTCAAAAAGCCTGGAGCCAAGGAGTTAAAGTCCTCTACTCCCTGAAGCCTTGGGAGAAAGAATGTGATAAGGCAGAGGCCTCTCTGCACCTCAGCCTACCCTCGTGCCCTTCTGACCCCTACCCCTACCCCCACCCATGCTGACCCCAAAGAGCAGCACCACTCGGCAGGGGACAGTGTGGCTCTGACTGCTGTGTGACCCAGACGGATCATTTCACTTCACTCAGATTCCTCTGCCCTCCCAAACCCCCCAACAGTGGTGAGGGCTGAATGAGATGCTTAACCCAGTGCCTGGCACACAGGAAGAGCCCCCAAATTGTACGTTACTGTCATTCTGCCTGTCTTTGCTCCTGCTGTTCCCTGCCAGAAATGCCCTCCCTCCTCCACCTCCCACCTGGAAAAGCCTGGGCACCTTTTGGAGCCTGGAGCAGAGGAGCCTTCCCTGTCTCCCCAGACGAGTCAGAGCGCTTCGCCTGCGCTCAGAGCAGAGCAGTTCCTCCAGACCAGGGCTTGTGCAGGAGCCCAGTCTGGGACGACTCTAATTGTCTGGCTTTCCCACTGCGCTGTGGGCTCCTCCAGGGCAGGGGCTGAGCCTCTGTCTCCCCCAAATGCCACACCTTCCTGGCATGTGACAGTGCTCAGCAAATACTTCATGAATTGAAGAAATACAGGAGTGGGCTCTCTGGGCAGACAGCGTGGGCTCAGACCTCAGACCGAGGTGGGCTGAATCGCCTCCCTCTCCTGCCCCAGGGAAAGGCTGGGGCTTCTGGTGGCACTAAAATCAGAATGCTCGTAGGCAGTGCTAAGCCCTGGGACCAGACAAGCTACTGGGAGGTACGGCCGGCCGGGAATGACAGAAGAGAATGCAGAGGGGAAACTCTGAAGCTGCATTCTCAGGGCTCCAGAAACTCACCTTTCTCTTTCCTTTCTCTGAAAAAATCCCTGTAGTTTGTTTTCTTCAGCTCATCAATGATGCCCTTGTTGGCATCGTCCAAAGCCTGTGGGTGGTAGAGGAGCCAATAAACTCTCATAACTCCTACTTGGCACCTACACTTCCCCTTTCAGTCAACGCAGGAGGCGGGGCTCTGCACCAGCCGTGCCCCCTCCTTTGCCCCTGGCCCCTCTGAAGGCGCCTCGCTGCTGGGCTCTCTCGAGGGATCTCCTGGTCCCTACTGCACCAGTCACAAACAAGGGCTTTTTGTTTTAACACATTGCATACCACATAGAAATCTCTAAGACATACGCCAGGGACCGCACGTTTTTGGGCAAATTGCACGTTGGGTTCTGAGCTGCACTCATTTGAACCAGCAGATATCCATTCCCTAGCTACTTCAAGAATACAGAATGGTGTGCTGTTTTTCGAACTTCGACCCTGAGGGCGAAGAGTCACAAATACAATAATCCTATATTACCCTGAGTTTAAAAAAACTGAGCCCTGGCCAGTTTGGCTCAGCTGTTAGAGCGTCAGCCTGCGGTCCAGAGAGACCCGGGTTCGGTTCCCGCTAAGGGCACGTACCTCGGTTGCAGTTTGTCTCGGGCCCTGGTTGGGACGTGCGAGTGGCAACTACTCGACGTGTCCCTTTCACGTCGATGTTTCTCTCTCTCTCTCTCTCCCTCCCACTCTATCTGAACAAAAAATGGAAAAATGTCCTCGGGTGAGGATAAAAAAACAACAAACTGAAATAGCTAATGCAAGTGTAAACCCGAGTTAACTCGTGCGCGGTCCGCAACGTTTGGGCAGGAAAACACCAGTTAACTTGTGAGCTGTCAAAAATGTGTTAACATTCCTGCTGACACCATGCTTCCTGAGGGCCGGGACCATGATCCTCACCTTTGGTCTGGGCAGCCCAGGCTGACTCATGGTCAACAAATATTTACTGAATTTAACTACCATGCTGTTTCTCTCCAAACATTGGCAGGGTGATCCTGCAAAAGAGGATCAGTTGGGAGACACTCTGCATGTGAACCAAGGAGCATCTGGCTTCAGTGAGGGGGCTCTACCCCTGAAGGCCACATTGAAAGGCGAGGTGTGCTTGGCCGGTTGAGCACAGACCCTGCACCAAGGGGTCCCGGCTCGATTCCCCACAGGGCACATGCCCAGGTTGTGGGCCTGATCCCCAGTGGGGGGCCTGCAGGAGGCGGCCAATCGATGTTCTCTCTCATCGATATCTCTCCCCACCTCCCTCTCTTCCTCCCTCCTTCCCACTCAAAAAAAAAAAAAAAATCAATGGAAAAGTATTCTCCGATAAATATCCTTGGGTGTGGATTAACAACAGCAACAACAACAAAAAGGTGAGGTGCTGTTCAGGGAGCCACCCCTCGACAGAGAGAGGAGGAGGTGAGAGGCCTCAGTGGCCCTGGGCCGGGGGAAAGCAGGGCAGGGCTACCACAGGGTGGGGTATTTTTTTTAGAGAGAGAGGAAGGGAGAGAGATAGAAACACCAACGCCAGAGAGATACATTGATCGGCTGCCTTCTGCACGCAGATTGAGCCCACAACCCAGGCATGTGCCCTGACAGGAATCAAACCGGTTCCTCTCTGTCCATGGGACGAGGCTCAATCCACTGAGCCACACCAGCTGGGTGTCCCTTTCTGCCTCCCACAAATCCCTCAGCACCCACAGCTTCCCGATCCTTCAGCCTGGCCAGACCCTGCAGTGCTTGTCCTTCAAAACCACCATAAGGCCCACCTCCAACTGCAGCATTTTCAGGATGTCACTTCCAGGGACTCTGCTCCCTTTCCTGAATGCCTGCTGCACCTCCAGTGCGGCTCCTGGGACCACACCCCCGTGCTGCCCCAGCATTATGCAGTCTGGCCTCTTTCAACCATGGGGCAAGCTCCCGAGGACGAGAGCCTGTTTAACTCCGGCAGATGCCTACTGGGGTCCAGCTATGTGCTGGTGGTGGCTCTGGAATTCTGACATGGGACAGATTAGGGGCAGCTGTCTGGTCGGCAGCGGGGTCATGCTAAGCTAGCTGCTTGTACATCTGCAAGGTCAGCGTGTTGAGGTTGTCCTACTGAGGTTGTCCATCTGCCTGGGGTGGCTCTGGGAGCAGTGGCTTCACTTGTGGCCTCTGCCCCCTGAGGCTGACGGTCTAGACCAGCACCATCCAACAGATATTTCTGCAAGGATAGGACCACTCACGGTCTGCACGGTGTGGCTATGGAGCACTTAAAATGTGGCTAGTGTGGCTTGAGAAACTGGATTTGCATTAACTCATTTTCATTTAAATAGCTGCCCATATGCCCTGGCTGGTTTGGCAACAGTTAGAGCATTGGCCCATGGACCAAAGAGTCAGGGGTTCTATTCCAGCCAAGGGCACGTACCTCGGTTGCGGTTCATCCCCAACCCTGGTCAGGGTCATGCGGGAGGCAACCAGTCGATGTGTCCCTCTCATGTCAATGTTTTTCTCTCTCCCTTTCTCCCTCTCTCCCACTTTATCTGAAGATAAATGGAAAAATATACTCAGGTGAGGATTAAAAAAATAGTAAAAAATAGTTGCACGTGGCCTGCAACTGCCTTACTGGGTGGTGCAGGTCCAGGCAAGTGAGTGAAGCAATCATACTGTATTTCTTGTGGTCTCCCGGAGGAGGGAGCAGTTTTGAAACTGCTAAGTCCTAAAATCAATTTAGAAGGTTTCCACCAACATTCAATTAAAGAAAATGAAAATTAAAATAGAATAAGAAATATTAGTGTCCGGAGTAAAGGTAAGTATGTTTTGTAGAACTTTCATTTCTACTTTTTGTTTCTTTCAAATAAAAATGTGTGTATGGGGTTGCTGTGTAAACTGAAGGCAGTGGCAAACGTCTGAAAGCCACTGCCCTACCCAGAATGTGCCCTGCAGGTGGTAGGTCATCAGTCTTTGTGGACTGGCCCACTGGGAAGGCTGAGGGGCTGAGGGGCTGAGGGGCTGAGGGGCTGAGGGGCTGAGGGCCGCCCACCCCCTGCCCACCCCCTGCCCACACCCAGCAGCTGGGGAAAGGCTCACGCTGATGATGGCCTGCTGTGCCTCGTTGTTGTGGACAAGCTTCGCTCTCTCCAGGGCCTTCTCAAAGTTGTTCACTGCAGACTCAAAGTCTCTCAGCTTCACTGGAGAACAGAGGGGCGACACACCACAGGCAGGTGGTGACACTGTGTTGCATGCTGCAGCTGCCCTGCAGGTGCCAGGCTCCTCCAGGAGCCCGGGCCCCTCCCAGGGTAGTTAGTAGCTTGTGTGAGCTGGAGTCAGCCGCAGGTGTCAGGCAGCATCACAGAGCTGCCCAGGGCCACCCTTGCCATCACCTTCCTGGGCCATCTCCCCATTAAGGACAGAACCTGGGAACCTGAGCCATGGATCTCAGACCATTCAAAGGGGTTGATAAGGGAAGGGGGTCCTGTGCACACATCTGTTTCTCCAGGACAGGGGGACAAGTCCACCTTGCCCTATCTTTAGATTGTTCCAAAGAAAGAAATCCATATTCTAAAAATGTTCACTCAAGTTTTTTTTTTTCCTCCAATTTTTATTAATTTACTTTTGTTACAGATGTTTTTCCTTCTTCCCCTCTAGAACCCCTCCTCCCCATCCAGTCCCTCTACCCCCCTCAAGTTATTATTTATTTTTTTATCCTCACCCGAGGACATTTTTCCATTTTTTGTTCAGATAGAGTGGGAGAGAGAGAGAGAGAAACATAGATGTGAAAGGGACACATTGAGTGGTTGCCATCCTCACGACGAACCAGGGCCGGGGACAAACCGCAACCAAAGCATGTGCCCTTAGCAGGAACCGAACGGGGTCTCTCTGGACCACAGGCCGATGCTCCAACTGCTGAGCCAAACTGGCCAGGACTCACCTTTTTTTTTAATTTATTTTTTCTTCTTCATTGATAATAGAGAGAGAGAGAGGAAAGAAGAGCGAGAGAGAGATAGAAACATAGATGTTCTCTCTCTCACTCTCTCTCTAATATCAATAAAGAAAAAATATTTTTTTTAATAATAAAAAATAGTCCTGACCGGTTTGGCTCAGTGATTATAGCATCAGCCTGAGGACCAGGGAGTCCCGGGTTTGATTCCGGCCAAGGGCATGTACCTCAGTTGTGGTTTGTCCCCAGCCCCGGTTGGGGTTGTGTGGCAACCAGCTGGTGTGTCTCTCTCACATTGATGTTTCTCTCTCTCTCTCCCCCTCCCACTCTGTCTGAAGATAAATGTAAAAATATCCTCAGGTGAGAATTTAAAAAATAGGAAGAAAGGAAGGGAGGGAGGGAAGGAAGGAGGGAGGGAGGAAAGGAGGGAAGGAGAGAGAGAGAGAGAAAGAAAGAAAGAGAGAGAGAGAGAGGGAAAGAAAGAAACTCTGTGGAAACCATGCAAAACATTGCAAGGCTGGATGTGACTCATGGGCCAGTGGCTGGAACCCCAGCTCTCAGGAGCCCAGCTCGCACACTGGTACAATCTAAGCCCAGAGAGGAGGTGGCTCCTCCGAGCCCACCCACTCCACCAGTTAGTGCTTGAGCCGGGACAGGAATGATTGACTGCCCTTTAAAAGAGCTTACACCCTGGCCGGTTTGGCTCAGCGATTAGAGCGTCGGCCTGCGGTCCAGAGAGACCCGGGTTCGGTTCCTGCTAAGGGCACGTACCTCAGTTGCAGTTTGTCCCGGCCCTGGTTGGGTCGTGCAGGTGGCAACCACTCAATGTGTCCCTTTCACATCGACGTTTCTCTCTGTCTCTCTCCCTCCCATTCTATCTGAACAAAATATGGAAAAATGTCCTCGGGTGAGGAAAAAATAATAAAATAAAATAAAATAAAATAAAATAAAATAAAATAAAATAAAATAGCTTAAGTTCAGGAAGGAAGGAGAAAAGTACTCACCAGCCAGGAACTGGGAACCCCACATTTCAGCTTCTTCACATACTACAGTTTCTCTTATGGCAAATATACCCAAGATCCACAACCCTCCCAAGAATTGTTTTGGGATCCATGGGGGAAGGAGGGCCTTATGTCCATAAGTCAAACTACTAAAGGCTATTCCATTGGAAAAGCAATTCAAACATAACTCTGAAAGTACATTAAGTTACAGTAAATGGGGATATGTATATAAAATTTGTTGTTTTTCTTTTTGTTTTTTTATTCCTCACCTGAGGATATTTTTCTACTTATTATCAGATCAAGTGGGAGGGTGAGAGAGAGAGAGAGAGAAACATGGACGTGAGAGGGACACATCGACTGGTTGCCTCCCACACAACCCGACCATGGCCAGGGACGGACGATCCACAGCCGAGGTACATGCCCTTGACCGGAATCGAACCTACGACTCATTGGTCCACAGGCCAACGCTCTAACCACTGATCCAAACTGGCCAGGGCTAAAATTTGTTTTTTAAAGGAGAGTCACTGTATTCACTGAGACCAACCACTGTGAATGAATGTCAGTGTCATTCTGACACTGCAGGTCTGTAGAGGAGTCGTAATGCTTATTAAAGGGAGTGAACATTAAAGACTATTGTTTTCATTTTTAACTGAATATGTCACCTAAAATATCTTGATTCTGGGAGCTGTTTTCCTCTTCTTTCCCTCTCTGTGCATGCACAAATCTACATATTTATACCTACATTTCTGTTGAGCCACAAGTGGGCTTTTCCAAAGCCTGTAACTTTCTCATCACTGTTAGAGACACTTATGAGAAGATGATGAGAAGGCAGGAAGGAAGAGCTGAATATTTACTGAGTGTGCTCTATATGCTAGTTCCTGCTCTCAGTGCTTACACGCTTAAGTATCACCCTGTAGGTAGATACCATAATTATCCCTATTTACAGAGGATGAAACCAAGGCACAAAGTGGCACTTGCCCAAGGTCCCTGAGCCAGGAGGGGCCAGAGCCCAAGCTCAGCCCCCAAGGCTGTGCTGCCTCTAGAATCCAGTGGCACCCAGGCTGCTGCATTTGATTTTTTTAAACTCCAGAGCGGGGGAGCAGACCAGCAGCGAGTGGCCTGGTTCTCCAGAGACCCTCAGGGCCCAATAAGTCCTCAAGAATGGACTCAGGATAACGTCCAACCTGAGGGGTACATCCTATCTCCCCTTTAGCTTATACAGTGCTCTCCTAAGAACAGGAAATAGTTCTAGGAAAAGCCACATTAATCATGTCTGTGATTTAGACTTAAAGCTTTCAGTGTTTTACTCTGTGCTTTCAGGAAAGGATCCAGGATTTGTAACTAGGTCCATGAGGCTCTGTGGATCTGGCCCCTCATCTTCCTCCTTCCTCCAACCTCCCCGGCCCCCTGGACCTCCAACTTACATTGGTCTCCTATGGCTTATAAAATCAGCTCAATTCCTGCCCACCTTCTTAAATGCTGTCCCTTTGGCTGGACAGCTGTTCTCAGCTCTTAAACAGCTGGTACTGTCTCATCCTTAAAGTTTCTACTTAAAAGTTAACCTCTTCAGGCAGGAGGGCAGGAGATTATCGGTGTTGCTCCCTACTGTACACCTAGAAGGTACCAAGTAAGTATTTGCGAAATGAATCAATGAATGAATGATTATACCCAGAGATCATAGCACTGGTCACATTTCCTCCCTCACTAAGGGTGAGCTGTGTACCTAGGGCAGGTGCAGCTTAGCACAGCTTCGCAAAGCCCGAGCTTTGGAGTCAGACAGAACAGGGCTCTAGTCCCAGCTCCATTGCCAATTAGCTTGTGACCTGGAGCCATTTCTTCTTTAACTTTATATTATAAAATATTTCAAATATACATGATGGTAAAAGTAGTATAATGAACTCCCATGACTTATTACTCAGTTTCAACAATTATCAAAATATTGCCAATCTTGTTTCATTTGTTTCTCCTTACCCTGCCCCTTGCTGTTTTTTAAAATTTCATTGAGACGTAATTCACATATTATAAAATGCACCTATTTCTACCTATTGAGTTCAATGATTTTTTAGTAACTTTATAGAATTGTGCAATGATCACCACAACCCAGTTTTAGAACATTTCCACTGCTTCAGAAAGTTGCCTTGTGTAACCTGGGGCAATCTGCTGAAACATTCAGTGCCTCAGTTTCCCCATCTATAAAATGAGGACAGCGACGCTGCATCACTGGCTTGCAGTGATTAAATGCAAGAAGGGTGATGTAAAGAGCACCAAGGCAACAGGAGGTGGCGCTGTTCTGGTAACATGGTGCTGTGCTGGTCTGTCTGCAGCTGAGCTCCTCAAGAGCAGCGGCAGCTCTCAGATGCCCTAAGCCCTAACTGGGCTTGGCCCAAAGTAGGCACTCACGCTGTTCAAAATGGAGGGGTTGATCCTCATTCTCAGAGTTAGAATTCATCTGGGCAGGGGTACACGGGGATGTTAAGTTTGGCCCAGGATTCCCAGCCCAGGAGTGACAGCTGGGCCTGAGGTCTGGGAAAGGTAGAGTGTCCTCTCTGAGCCCATACCTTGTGCCTGTGCCACCAGAACACTGGCGTTCAGCTGCCACTCGATGTCCCCTTCTTCCTCGGCGCACTGCTGGGACTTCTCACCGTAATTCTGGGCCTGCCAGGCCTGGTCCAGCTCCAAGTAACAGCGGCCAATCTCATGGAACAACCAGGTCTTCTCCAAAGTGGTTTTTGCCAGAGGGATCTTCTCCTCCCACCTGGGGATATGAAGAACCAGGTCAGCTTCTTCCACTCTAACCCTTCACCTGGCCACAGGAGGTCAAGGACTCCTACTGGGGGGGCAGAATAAGAACTGTTCTCCAGCCCTGGCCGGTTTGGCTAAGCGGTTAGAGCATCAGCCTGCACTCTAGAGAGACCCAGGTTCGGTTCCCACTAGGGGCGCGTACCTTGGTTGTGGTTTGTCCCGGCCCTGGTTGGTTGTGCGGGTGGCAACCACTCAATGTGTCCCTTTCACGTTGATGTTTCTCTCTCTCTCTCCCTTCCACTCTATCTGAACAAAATATTGAAAAATGTCCTCGGGTGAGGATAAAAAAATAAAATAAAAAAACAACTGTTCTGCAACCACCATTTCTTTTAGTTAAGGAGTGGTGCTAATAAGCATTAACATTTTTTAAAACTTCCAAAACTATTTTGGAACATCTATGGAATCGAATTTGATGCAACAGTTGCAAATAATGTTTACAAAATGCCATTTGAAATAACAAAAATAATGTTTAATAATATTCTTAAGTACATATAAGAAAAAAATCAACACACAAAAAGAATAGAATGAAAGAACAAAAAAAGTCAATTAAAAAGTTAAGGGTAGCCCTGGCCGGTTTGGCTCAGCAGTTGGAGCATCGACCTGCAGACCAGAGAGTCCCGGGTTCAGTTCCTGCTAGGGGCACATACCAAAAAAAAAAAAGTTAAGAGTAGGATTAGAGACTTTGGCTGGGTAGCTCAGTTGGTTAGAGCATCATCCCGATACCCCAAGGTTTTGGGTTCAATCCCCAGTCAGGGCATATAAAAGAATCAACTAATGAGATCCCCTGACTCCTGACCCGATTTGCCACCTCCTCCTCCAAGCCCTCACCTCCTCCCCCTTTCCATTCACTCTTCCCCCTCCCCCAACTCGGCTCCCCTTTTCCTCCTGGTCCCCTTACCTCCACCCAATTATTCCTCCCTCCCCATAAGAGAATTTAAAAAAACAACAAAAAACTAATGAATGCATAGATAAGTGGTATAACAAATTGATGTTTCCCTCTCTCTCTCTAAAATCAATAAAATAAAATAAAATAATGAGTAGGATTAGAATTAGTACTTGTATTTGGGTGGTGGGACTGAACAATTTTTCTTCTACTTTTCAAATTAATTTTAAAAAAATCCTCACCTGGACTTCCGGTCAAGACAGCAGGTAGGTAAACACAGTATCGCGTCCTCCCACAACCACATCAAAGTTACAACTAAACTACAGAACAACCATCATTCAATACCGCCTGAAATCAAGCTGAATGGAAGTCCTACAACTACGGAATTAAAGAAGCAGCCACATCCAGACTGGTAGGAGAGGCGGAGGGGACAGGCTGGTCCCACACCCACATGTGGCGCATAAGAATTAGGAGGACACCTTGGCTGGGAAGGTCCTTCCCGAGGACTGAGGGGTCCTCGTCCCACACCAGGCGCCCAGCTCAGGGTTCCAGTGCCAGGAAGAGAATCCCCATCACTTCTGGCTGGAAAAACCAGCGGGAACTGAGGCTGAGCCTGAGGCTAAGGTGGCTGGAGCCCCAGGCAGCTCCTTAAAGGGCCCGCGCACGGACTTATCAGACTCTCTCCCTCTAAGCTTGGAGGGGAGGCAGCTCGAGGGGCGCCAGAGACATACAGGGAAGAACTGAGCTGTTCGGCATTGGAGCGAGGGCCGGAGAGGGGGCTTTCTCCTGGACAGACGTGCTGTCAGAGGCCTTTGTTCCTTTGGTGAGCCCTTCCCTGGGGTGGCAGACAGCCGCAATATCTGGGACTCCAGCAACCTGGCTCACACTGTTTGCCCCACCCTGGTGATTCCCTGAGGCTCTGCCCCACCCAACTTTCAGGCCCACCCAAGCTGTTGTCAGTTGCTTCACCATAGGATTGGCCTGTCTTGGATCCTGCTTCAGGTTTTCCTAAATTCTTTCAAACAAGCAGCATCTGGTCTCAGACAGCCCCCATACCTCTCGTTAAGTAATACATAGAAACAAACACAGGGAGGCAGCCAAAATGAGGAGACAAAGAAACAGGTCTCAAATGAAAGAACAGAACAAAACCCCAGGAAAAGAACTAAGCGAAATGGAGATAAACAACCTAACAGATGCTGAGTTCAAAATACTGCTTATAAGGCTGCTCAATGAACTTAGTGAGAACCTCAGTGAACTTAGTGAGGGCCTCAAGAGCATAAAAAAGGACCAGTCAGAAATGAAGGATGCACAGTCAGAAGTGAAGGAGGCACTAACTGAAATAAGGAATAACTTACACAGTTTCAGTAGTAGAGTAGGTAAAGCCAAGAAGCAAACCATCAATTTGGAATATAAGGAAGCAAAAAACACCCAATCAGAACAGCAAAAAGAAAAAAGAATCCAAAAAAATGAGGATAGTGTAAGGGGCCTCTGGGACAACTTCAAGCGTGCCAACATTCGCATCTTGGGGGTGCCAGAAAGAGAAGAGAGAGAACAAGAAATCGAAAACCTGTTTGAAACAATAATGGCACAAAACTTCCCTAACTTGGTGAAGGAAACAGACATACAAGTCCAGGAAGCACAGAGAGTCCCAAACCAGATGAACCCCAAGAGGCCCACACCAAGACACATCATCATCAAAATGCAAAAGGTTCAAGACAAAGAGAGAATCTTAAAAGCAGCAAGAGAAAAGCAGTTAGTTACCTACAAGGGAGTTCCCATAAGACTGTCAGCTGATTTCTCAAAAGAAACTTTGCAGGCCAGAAGGGAGTGGCAAGAAATATTCAGAGTGATGAAAAGCAAGAACCTACAACCAAGATTACTCTATCCTGCAAAGCTGTCATTTAGACTTGATGGCCATATAAAGAGTTTCCCAGATAAGAAAAAGTTAAAGGAGTTCATCACCACCAAACCATTATTATATGAAATGTTGAAGGGTGTTTTTGAAGAAAAAGATAAAATATGTGAACAAACAAAATGGCAATGAATACATATCTATCGTCAATGGAATCTACAAACAAAATGAACAGGCAGAACAGAAACATTCTCATAGATACAGAGAACATTTTGTTGATTGCCAGATGGGAGGGGGGTTGAGGGAATGGGTGAAAAAGTTGAAGGGGTTAAGAAGTACAAATTGGTTGCTAGACTGACAAACCTCAAAGGGAAGGGGGTTTGGGGGTGGGAAGAAATAAACCAAAGAACTTATATGCATAACCAGTAGACACAGACAACAGTGTGGGAAAAGGCAGGAGGGGGACGGGAGAGGGGAAGAGGGGGTCAATGGGGGAAAAATGAGGAACATCTGTAATACATTCAACAATAAAGATAAAATAAAAATAAATAAATAAAATAAAAATCCTCACCTGAGGATATTTTTCCATTTATCTTCAGATAGAGCAGGAGGGAGGGAGGGAGGAAGAGAGAAAGAGAGAGAGAAACATCGATGTGAGAGACACATCAATTGGTTGCCTCCAGCACGACCCGAACTGAGGCAACTGAGGTACGTGCCCTTGATGAGAATCGAACCTGGGACTCTCTGATCCATGGGCCAACACTCTAACCGCTGAGTCAAACTGGACATGGCCAAATTAATATTTCAATAATAAGCACTCATTTCTACAAAACTTTTTATAATAAAAAGATGTAGGTGAGCCCCACTGGTGTGGCTCAATGAATTGAGCAACGTCTCATGGACTGAGAGGTCCCAGTTGGATTTCCAGTCAGGGCACATGCCAGGGCTACAGGCTTGATCCCCAGTAGGGGGCGTGCAGGAGGCAGCCAAGCAATGTTTCTCTCATCAATGTTTCTATCTCTCCCTTCCTCTCTCTCTAAAAGGAAATCAATAAAAACATATTTTTAAAAAAAGATGTAGGTGGCCCTGGCCGGTTTGGCTCCCCGGTTAGAGCATCCGCCTGCGGTCCAGAGAGACCCGGGTTTGGTTCCCGCTAAGGGCATGTACCTCGGTTGCAGTTTGTCCCCGGCCCTGGTTGGTTGTGCGGGTGGCAGCCACTCGATGTGTCCCTTTCGCATCGATGTTTCTCTCTCTCTCTCTTCCTCTCTCTCCCTCTCTCTTCCTCTCTCTTCCTCCCACTCTATCTGTACAAAAAATGGAAAAATGTCCTTGGGTGAGGATTAAAAACAAACAAACAACAAAAAAAACAACAACAACAAAAAAAGATGTAGGTGAACTCTCAAACTCCTCTGTCTTTTGGCACATAGACACCAGGGACCATTCAGGAAACCAAATGATGAGTGCAGAGATGAACAAGTCTATTTCAATCAAGTGACTAGAGCCAGAGGACATTTCTCTGCAATAAGCAAGTGTGCCCAAGGAGCTGGCTCACCCAGCCCAGGCTGGTCTTCAGGTCAGGTCCTCCCCCAAAGTCTGCCTGGGACTGAATCACCCCCCTGGAGTAGGTCACTAGCCCCCAGGTTGGACATCAAAAGTCCAGCAGTTGGACTACCTGGAGAGTTCAGACTCTATTCCCATTGACCCCACGTGACCACAGAGTCACAGAACAGTGTCAGAAGAGGTCCCAGACTCAAGTGCTCCACCACTTCCTGAACTGGCCCAACGTAAGGATCACCTGGAATGCTTGTTAAAAACGGATCCCTGGGCACGTACCTCGGTTGCAGTTTGTCCCCAGCCCTGATTGGGTCGTGTGGATGGCGACCACTCGATGTGTCCCTTTCATGTCAATGTTTCTCTCTCTCCCTCCCACTCTATCTGAACAAAATACCAAAAAAATGTCCTCGGGTGAGGATAAAAAAATAAATTAAAACAAACAAACAAACGAAAAAAACAGATCCCTGAGCTCACAAATGCTCGAGATGATCCTTGTCACTGGGACATTTTGAGAAAATGCTGATTCTAATCTATTGATTAATTTAACCGATGAGCCCCTGAGTTTACAAAGTGGCTTTCCAATGGTCACCTAGCAGAGCCAGGAGCCAAACTCGGGTCTTCTGATGCCTCGCCTGGCATCCTGGCCCCAGGCAGGGAGTCTGGTGTGAGAATGGGAAGTCCTAACCCTGAGGTGGGGTAGCGGAGGTCTTTGGTCACTCACGTGTCAATGGCTTGCTGGAATTTCCCAACTCTGGCAAAAACCCTGCCAATGTTGTCAAGGGCTCTTGACTTGGCATCAGGAAGGTCACTGAGGGAAGAATCGTGACAAGTCGTTCACTAGAAATCAGTCATTCTAAGCACTGTGGAAACAGAAAAGAAGCCAAAGACAGGGGCCCTGGCTTCAGGGACTCAAGGTCCAGTTTAAGGGACATGCCCAGCTAGCAGGGCTGACACACACAGGGCTTCTCATGCCCTGTAGCCAAGAATGAGCATTATCGGGATCTTTCCGAAGGGCCATCAGTCAATAGTTTGCAAAGATGTCCCTTTGACCTAGTAATTCCCCTTCTAGGAACTTACTTCAAAAAGCTAATGTGACAAGAACACTCATTAAGGAATTGTTTATAAAAATAAACATTGGGCCCAGCTGGTGTGGCTCAGTGGTTGAGCATTGACCCATGCACCAAGAGGTCGTCGGTTGGATTCCCGATCAGGCACATGCCCAGGTTGTGGGCCTGATCTCCAGCGGGGGCATGCAGGAGGCGGCCAATTGATGTTCTCTCTTATTGATGTTTCTATCTCTCTCTCCCTCTCCTTCCTCTCTCTCTAAAGCCAGTAAAGGAAAAAATATTTAAAAAAATAAACATTGAAAACAATCTAAATGTTATTAGTGACTTAGCACTGGCAATTTTTGTATATGAAAAAAAATCCCTGATATAGTAAGTTAAAACATCAGATCGTAGGAGTATATGCTATGTTTATTGCCCCATTTTTGTTAAAAATAAATATGCAGCCCTGGTCGGTTTGGCTCAGCGGTTAGAGCACCGGCCTGTGGTCCGTGCCTCGGTTGCAGTTTGTCCCCGGCCCTGGTTGGTCATGCGGGTGGCAGCCACTCAATGTGTCCCTTTCGCGTCGATGTTTCTCTCTCTCTCTCTTCTTCTCTCTCCCTCCCACTCTATCTGAACAAAAAATGGAAAAATGTCCTCGGGTGAGGATAAAAAAAATTAATTAATTAAATAAATTAAAAAATAAATATGCAGAGCCCTGGCCAGTGTTGCTCAGTTGGTTGAGTGTCATCCTGTGCACCAAAAAGATCATGGGTTCACCCTGGCCCGTTTGGCTCAGCGGTTGGAGCGTCAGCCTGTGGACCAGAGAGTCCTGGGTTTGGTTCCCGCTAGGGTCATGTACCAAAACAAACAAACAAACAAACAAAAGATCATGGGTTTGATTCCTGATCAGGGCACAAGGCCAGGTTTCAGGCTCGATACCCAGTAGGTGGTGTGCAGGAGGCAGCCGATTGATGTGTATCTCTCTCATGGATGTTTCTATCTCTCTCTCCCTCTCCCTTCCTTTCTCTCTCTGAAATCAATAAAAACATATTTTTAAAAAAGTCTTAAAAAAAGTAAATATGCAGCCCTGGCCAGTTTGGCTCAGCGGTTAGAGCGTCGGCCCGTGGACCGGAGCATACTGGGTTTGGTTCCCGCTAAGGGCATGTACCTCGGTTGCAGTTTGTTCCCGGCCCTGGTTGGGGTCGTGTGGGTAGCAACCAGTTGATGTGTCTATCTCATGTTGATGTTTCTCTCTCTCTCTTTCCCCCTATATCCCTCCCGCTCTATCTGAAGATAAATGCAAAAAATATCCTCGGGTGAGGATAAAAAAAGAAGTAAATATGCAGAACTAAAGCAGGATACTGTGCTCCTAGCTTTTGCAATGGAGGAAGGGCCACAAGCCAAGAAGTGCAATGAATGCAGCTCTAGAAGCTGGAAGAGGCAAGGAACCTGATTCTCCCCTAGAGCCTCTGGAAGGAGAGAGGCCCTACCAGCACCTCGATTTCACCCAGTCATATGGTCATCAGATTTACAACCTCCAGAACTGTAAGAAAATAAAACCGTGTTGGTTTTTTTTTGCTTTGTTTTGTTTATATTTTTTTATCCTCACCCGAGGACACTTTTCCATTTTTTGCACAGATAGAGTGGGAGGGAGAGAGAGAGAGAGAGAAACATCGACATGAAGGGACACATCGAGTGGCTGCCACCCACACAACCAACCAGGGCCGGGGACAAACTGCAACCAAACCGTGTTGTTTTAAACCACCAAAAACTAAGTAAATAAATTTAAAAAATGGACATTTTAAAAAGTAGAGAGAATGTAAGACTATTAACAATGATTACCTATGGGAAATGAGCGTATGAGGGAAACTTTTAATTTATCCATATTATTTAAAAGTTTATGCCCTGGCCGGTTTGTTCAGTGGTTAGAGCGTTGGCCTACGGTCCAGAGAAACCTGGGTTCGGTTCCCGCTAAGCGCACGTACCTCGGTTGCAGTTTGTCCCTGGCCGGTCATGCGGGTGGCAGCCACTCGATGTGTCCCTTTCATGTCGATGTGTGTGTCTCTCTCTCTCTCCCTCCCACTTTATCTGAACAAAAAATGGAAAAATGTCCTCGGGTGAGGATAAAAAAAAAGTTTACAGTATTCACGTGCCATCAGGAAAGAGAGTAAGACATTTCCATAAAGAAAAAGACAATTGCACCCCCTGCATCAATTGTTTCCCATTTACCATATGAACATTCTGATGGCTCTGTTCAAAAATTACCTCCTTCCTAACAAATAAAACAAAGGAAAACCTCCCCCAATCCCAAATCTGCCCCACCAGCATTCCCTCACCCCCGCTTCCCATTTCCTCTTCGCCCCTCAAGCCCCTGCGTGTTAGCTTCCATGTCTTCCATGAAACTCTCTTCCTCTGACCCAGTCCCACCACTGTGGTCAGCCTGCCTTTCTCACATGCAAATCTGGATCCTGGCGGGGTAGCTCAGCTGGTTAGAGCATCATCCTGATATACTAAGGTTGCAGGTTCGATCCCCAGGAAAACCACATACAAGAATCAACCAAGGAATACATAAATAAGTGGAACAATAAATCGATATTTCTCTCTCTCCCTTCCTCTCTAAAATCAATTTAAAAAATTTAAATGCAAATCTGATCAAGACATTCCTCTGCCCACAGAGGTACTCAAACCTATCTGAGGAGTTCCGCTGCAGCACTGTTTGCCATGGCAAAAAGTGGGCAGCCTAAGTGCCCTCGAAGATGTAGTTACATAAATTACTCTGCGAGCTGAAATATCATTCAAAGAATGCCACCTGTCCTAAGACACATTCTTTTTTTTATTTTTATTTTTTGTACAGATAGAGTGGGAGGGAGAGAGAGGAAGGGGGAGAGAGAGAGAAACATCGACGTGAAGGGACACATTGAGCGGCTGTCACCCGCACGACCAACCAGGGCCAGGGACAAACTGCAACCGAAGTACTTGCCCTTAGCGGGAACCGAACCCGGGTCTCTCCGGACCGCAGGCCGACGCTCTAACCGCTGAGCCAAACTGGCCAGGGCCCAAGACACATTCTTTAAAAAAAAACCAGAAACCGAAATGAGTTGCTTATGTTTTAAAAATCCTATGTATGCATAGATGTACTTAAATATGTAGGAAAATATATTAAAAAGAGGCCAGAAGGACACATCTCAACTTGTTCCCAGTGAAGTGAGGGGAGAGTGGTGTTGGGTGGAGGGAGAAGACTGTCAAGTCCTGCTCTCAGCGCCATACGGCTGTGAACCAAGGACAGCACTGAAGTACCTGTGTAAAGTCAAACTCATGCGCCCTCAATACCTTCTGGTTACGGTCCTTCCTCCTCAGCGTGGCATTCAGTCTGCCAACTCCCCACAGGTCCTGGCCCCCAGCCCTGCACACTACCTGCATTTCCCTAAATCCTCCAACCTGGCCACGTCCCTCTGTGTAGGGTGCCCTTCTCGCTCCTTCTCGACTCCCCTTGCTGACACCCCTGTCCTCTCTGAGGCCTCCTGGGCTCCCAGCGGGGCTGCCACCTGCCTCTTTCCTTGGAACATCGGCCATACTTGGCACCTGCTGCTCTCATAGCGCCCCTGATGTCAGTCTCCTGGTGCTCTGTCATGGTGTGGTGAGTGAATGAATAAATTGTAATTTTTTTGGTTTGTTTTTTGGTACGTGCCCCTAGCAGGAACCAAACCCGGGACTCTCTGGTCTGCAGGCCGATGCTCCAACCGCTGAGCCAAACCGGCCAGGGCTAAATTGTAATATTTTAACTTATTCATAACAATAATATGTAATAAGATAATAATAATAATGAGAAAGCATGCAACCAAGTGATCTATAGAGTATTTTGAGAAAGAAATAAGGGCTGGGGTCATTGAAGAAGCTACTTAGGCAAGTTGGGATTTGAACTGCTACTTAGGCAAGTTGGGATGACAGGCTGTGGGAGGGAGGGACATAGAGGGAGGGACATGGCTGATTAGAATGAAGGAGCACCTGGTGTACCCTGCACTCACAAGACTGGAGGCCCCATTGCGGATGTTAAAAAGGAACTGACCATTTGAGAAACACCTTTGTTTATTCAGTCATTTAGCATACATTTACTGCATGCCCAGTTGTGGCAGGTGCTGGGGAGAGAAAAGGAGTATAAGATAGTCCCATCCAGAGTCCAGAGCCTAGTAGAGCAGACAGGACACAGGTGAGTGGGGAGAGAGAGCACAGAAGAGGGATTTCTAAATCACCCCTGGGGCGAATGGAAGGCTTCCCAGAAGGAAAATGCTTATTTAAATTTTGAAAAATGGGTAGGAGGGAGTTGATGAAAAAAGGGCTGGCAAAAGAAGAGGTTCCAATTAGGGCAGGAGTGGAGCTACAAAGTGTTGCCTGGGGCTCAGATATTCAGGGGCCTGGAGAGAGCTGGGTCAAGAGAGACCAGGACAAGCCAGGTAAGGAAGGGCAGCAGAACAGGACACTTGAATTTTATCCAGTCATTGGATTTGTTTTGCACAGACGGGGCGGCTGAGCAGCAGGAAATCCCGGACAGAGGAAATAGGCAGAAAGCAGGGAGGGTCTGAACTGAGCTGTGGGAGGGAAACAGAAGAGAAAGAGGCAGCATGGACAGGACCTCAGCGAGCGGGAGCATGAGCAATGAGGGGAGGGAGGTGTCTGGAAAGCAGCCCGAGCTCCTTCTTGGAAACTGAGTGGCCAAAGTTGACATCCTCATAGATAGGGAACCCTGGAGCAAGAGGTTCACATCCACGTGGCAATGCCTTGGAATCCACTGGATATGCAGGTCTGGGGCTTGGGAGGGAGACTGGCCAGAAGTAAAGGTTTATATGTCTTTAGGGCATGAGATATAGTTGGACCCAAATTACTTACTATATATGCATATCACTTCATTCTCATAATCCCTGTGAATTGGTATTATTTTGCCTTCATTACAGATGAGAAAACTGAGGTGAGCAACTTAATCAAACCCGCACAGCCTCTGAGGGCCAGACCCAGGAGTCAAAGTCAGGCCTGTCTCCAAAGCTGGTTGGCATTTTTTCCCTACTTCTGGGATGGCCAACATGTGATACTCCTGCTCAGCACGCGGTAAGCAGGTGAGAAATGAATCGGCACTGGACGGCATGCCGGGCTCCGACCAGTGAGAAGGAGAGGGCAGGAGGTAGCAGTGTTCAGTAAATCCAGTTTGACCCAAATAGAGGACTGACATCAGAGGGCTTTGCAGAAGTGGGTTCAGAGAGGGCCTTGAGTACCAAGCAGGCCATGAGGGGTCAAGGCCAGTTTGTCACAAGGGAAGGAGAGGTGATAAATGAAAAGCAGTGTGTCTCTGGAGGTGATGTGTGGGAACAGCTGGAGGCAGGGAGAGCTGAGGGCCGACCTGTGCATAGAAACAGGATGATGGGCAGCTGAAAGAGACTCAGTACTGTGGGGCAAGTAGGAACCAGGTAGGAGAAAGTCACAAATGACTCCAAAGGTTCAAATCAGGTGCCCAGAAAGCCACGGTACCTCTGAGAGTGGGCCATCAAGTTTGAAGAGCTGGTTCCTGGGGGAGTGGATATGACTATTACTATGGATACGCAGCAATGTTCTGAGGTCTTTATGTGTCTTCTGCATGCTGTCCCCCCTCTCATTCTGTCAGGTGGGGCTATTGTTATGTCCATCTGACAGAAGAGACGTGAGGCTGAGAGAGGTTAAGTGCCTTGCCTAAGGTCCCACGGCTGGGAGATACAATTCCAAAGCTCGGATCTGCCAGACTCCAGAGCCCATGCACTTGGTCAGCACCATGGTTTGTGAGGCCCTCGTTGGCTCTGACCCCTGCCTGTGTGGTCCAGCCTCCCTCGGTCACTCTTCCCCTGGAGGCAATCCCCTCCAGCCTTAAGCTTGCTGCCACCTGCCTCAGTACCTGCTCACAAGCCCAGGCAAGTCCTCCTGAAATGTACTGCTCGCAGCACTGGGCTGTGTACTTTTCCTTCATGACACTTATCACAATGGTGATTTAGTAGCTATGTCACTTTTTCTTTCATACCTGCAGAGAAATGACTGGTCATTGCCGTGTTCCCAATGCTAACAGCATCTGGCATGCCTGGGGTTGAGGAATGCTTGTAGACATGGGTAAAAATGAAAATATCCCCAAGAGTCAGGCCACTGGCAGCTTTTAAAAAATTTTTTTTCTTCATTGATTTTAGACAGAGATGAAGGGAGAGGGAGAGAGAGACAGAAACATCACTGAGAGAGAACAATTGGCCGCCTCCTGCATGACCCCCACTGGGGATCAGGCCCACAACCCGGGCATGTGCCCTGACCGGGAATCGAACCAGCGACTTCTTGGTGCAGGGTCGATGCTAAACCACTGAGCCACCCGGGCCGGGCCCACTGGCAGCTTTTTAGAGTTTTGGGCCAGTGCCCTCCTCTTTGTGGCAAAAAAGCTGACAGTCTCATTCTGCCTTTACCCTCAGTCCTGGCCAAGCGGTTCCTCCCTCCTTGGGGTCTACCACAGGCGTGCAGGGCAGAAAATGGGAGTTCAGTCACCAGCAGCCCAGCCAACTCCTCTGCAGGCCCCTGGGTCTCCCTCCCCGCCTCCCCGCCTCCCCAGGCACTCACTATTCCTTGGCGATCTCCAGGTCCTTTCTGTGGCTCTGCAGGGCTGCTGCCATCTGCCCCAGCTCAATCTGGGCATTCCCTATGCAGCTGTACAAGTTCCCAACCAGTTCATCCTTGTTGGGCACCTCTTCCTTGCTCCACTCCAGCACCTTCTTCAGCACTTTCTCAGCTTTCTGAAGGCTTCCTTCAGCACTGCCGCTGGTCAGCACTGGGAAGGGAAAGAGGTGATGTGGAGGTGTGTGCAGCCTCTTCCCGGCTGAGGGGAGAACCCACCTCCCCCCAGATGCCATCCACAGCCCAGGGAAGCCAGAGGCTCAGGCTACTCTGTTGCTCCCTTTCCACTGGGCACGTCCCCATCCCTCTGAGAATACCACCCACGCATGTCAATGTCCTCCAGGCTCTTGAGGACATATCGAGCTGTCTGGGAGGGATGGCGTTTGCGGTTCCGCAGCCATTTCTCCTGCATCAGCTTCTGGTCACGCTCCCTGGCGTAGATGGGTTTCTGCTGCCTCCAGAAGTTAGTTCGGGTGTCCAGGTAGTTGATGCCTGTCATGATGAGGTCCTCCACGGTCAGGCCATGCTTGATGGTACCTTTGATCAGGTCTGTGGGAAAGGGGGTGAGGAGAAACCAACCAGAACAGGCATCTAAGGGAGTCACCTCCTCTTGGCTCTGGGTCCCCACTTCAGGGCCCTGTGGGGAACTCTGTTTGGAGTTGCAGAAACAGTGAGCAAAGCAAGAGCACATGGGTAGAGAGGAGTAGGTCTATCTGGGCCCAGATGCGGCCAGAACCCCACTTTCAGGCATTTCCACTGTACAGAGCTTAGTGTGTAGGCCCCTTATGGCAAGATATGAAGAGCTAACAGAAGCGGCAGCTGGTGGATAGCCCCCAGCCTTCAAGGCTACCAATTTCAAGCAGTGTCCTCAGAGAAGACAGAGTCTAAATGCACGACCTGGCCCAGGTTGCCAGTGCCAAGTGATCCCCCAGGTGCAAAGTGGGTCAGTGCAAGCCAGGAACTGGAGGGGTATGCCTGGGTCCTGCCGGCCACCTGAGCAGAGGTTAGACCTGGTAGCCAAGCTGCAAGTCCAATTGGGGTAGCGTTCAGGCCATCCCTTCCCTCCACAGAAGCTCCCCTGGGGGGAGGGAAGCATTCAGGTCTGTGAATGTGTCAGCAGTGAAGCTGCCCCTGTGACACAGACCTGTAAGAAATCCTGCAGGTGACCTTGGAAGTCAGTTCTGGAGAAAAGCCATTTGATTCAACAGCAATCCCTGCTTAGGCTTATGAGCTAATGGCAATACTCCCACCCCGCATGTTTATGTGAGGCATTCCTTTCAAGGCTCCGGTCCTATTTCCTGTCCCTGCCAGCACAGTGTGTTTGAGTGTTGGACCAGAGGTTAGGAGGCCTGGGCTCTGATATCAACTCCACCATTCGGGGTCTCTCTTTCCTTATCTATACAAGGAAGGGTTGAACCAGATGAGATGTGGGACATTGTAGTATTAGTGCCCTTGGATTCCCCTTCTAGTGCTTCCCAGCTGGATTCCTTTGCCCTTTGTACTTATTGAAGGCCAAGGGGACACCCCCTTCAGGGTCATGGTGATAGAGGAACCCAAATCTTCCGAGTTCCCTCCCAGGGTACCATAGTGCTCAAGAGCACTGGTTCTGAAATTGAACTTCCTGGTTTCAAATCTGAAGGCTGTGTCACTGCTTACCTATCCATGACCTTAGGTGACTTAAACTTTCTGCGCCTCAGTTTCCTCATCTGTAAAATGAGAGTAAAACCTGTCCATAGGAACATGTCAGCTAATATTATGATAGATTCTGCCTCTGCCTCATGCATGAAGCATCCACCCCAGATTCCCTTTGCCCCCTTCCCTGTTGCAAACAAAGTCTGAAACCTTCATCCAATAGGAGCTTCTCCAGGTACTCCTTGTCCACATAGAGCTCGCCTAGGAGCTGGCGGATAGTCTTCTCACTCTTGAATGAGCCCTTCCGCTTAGTCTCTCTCTTGGGGAGGTATGAGAGCTGCTTCATGGGATGCGACTTCTGCAGGGCTTTCATATTCTGGGAAGATGGAGCAACACCCAACAGAGCCTCAGCAAGGAGCACAGAGAATCCAGGAACCCAGAGTCTGTGATCCCAAACTCTTCCTCCAGAACCTCCCTGTGGGCTGAACCCCATGGAGTGTTCCTGGTCCGAGAACAGCTAGACTGCCAGGACCCCTCTGGATCTGAGGCAGAATCCTCTGGCTGCCTGTGATGGGTAGGAGCTGGTTGTTCCCAGGCAACAGGGCCACTTAGACTTGTGTGCCTCAAGCATATGTGGCCTCTTCCTTTGAAGGGATATCAAATCAGAACCAGGGCCCTTACCTCAGCCTGCTTGCTTAAGAAGGAAAGGTCTCCTTTGTTCTCCAGCTTAATCGAAGAAGGACCTGCAAGTACAGAAGCTGGGGCTCAGGTCAACCAGACCTCCAGCATGACCAATCACCTATTTTTATGTGGAAATGGCTGCTTTTGGCAGGAGGATGGTAGACATTGTTGCAAAGCTGGCTCTGAGCTAGCCTGGCAGGAAAATGGTACATAGTGTTTGTCAATATTCTTGTAGGACCTAGGCAGTCTCTGCTAGTCCAAGGCCATGGCAGCCAAATTTGCAAACAAAGGGAGCTCTCCATTCATTTCCATACTTTGCCATCCACACTGGCAAGTTTTCACTCTCCTTTCTCCTCTACCCTGACACAAGGCCAGTTCAACACGCAGGTATTGAGAGAAGAAGCCAGAGACTAGGGAAGACCAGGCTCAGCACTCCATTCTACCCTATGACACCAGGCCCAAAATAAGCATACTCATTTGACTTGGGCTGAGTGAAACAGCCCTTCTTATCTGGCATTGAGGAATAACCAGACACTGCAGTGCTCAATACAGTGGATCGGGGACTGGTCCTCCCAGTGAACAGTTCCTAATCTTCAACAAAATCAGCAGGAGCCAAATCCAAGCATGGGACTCCCTGTAGGCCTCTTGGTGGTCACCTCAGGCTTTCCTCCAAACCTAAGAATTCTAAGCGACTTCCTGGATAAGGGCATAGGTCCCATGGTCACTCACTCCCCACTGAGTTGTTGATGGCTTCCTGGGCTTTCTGAATTCCAACTTTGAATTCCCGATCAGGCCGTAGCTTATAGCCTCGATGATAGAACACCAAAGCAAATTCAAAGTCTCCCATGGTGTACAGGGTCTCCGCCTTTTGTAAAATGCCCTGAAATGAGAGGACGTCAAATTGAGGTGGACAGACAAGGCCTTACAGGCTTCAGGTGTGGTGGAACAGAAGGGCCTTGGGTTGAGGGTCAAGGGATACTGAGGCAGGGAGCTAGGCAAGTGACCTATGAAGAAAGAGAAAATGGCACCAAACCCTAGTCAGTCTGGCTGGTTCTTCTATGACATCTAACCAGAGGGTGCTGCAGACAGTGGCAGTGGTGAGAGCAAAATGGAGTTCTCCATCCACACAGTCACCTTGCAGAAAGTCGGGTCACCCTGGAGAGAAGCCTCGGCATCCTTCAGGGATTTCTCTAAATCTCCCATCTTCAGGAAGCACTTGGAGCGGGCAACCAGGCAGTTCTTGTCTCCGTTCTGAAGGTGAAGAGCCTGAGAAAAGAACCACTCAGGTTGAAAGGTACCAGGCAGGGCAAGGTAGAAGCTGGACTAGAAATAGCAGCCCGAACCCTCCTGCCAGAGTTTCAAAGGGACTCTTCAGGGCAGCAAACAGGTCTTTCGGTCTTATCAGACTTTTTGAAAAGCAGCACATTATCAATCTTTACTTAGACAGCTCAAGTATCTGTAAGTGGCTCATCTTAAACAAGGTCAAATCACAAGCTATCGTGGAAGCCACTGGTTGAGATGTGAGAATATACTACTCTGTGGATATATTCAATTTCCCGGAGTGTCTGGGATTCCTCTAGTCCACTCAGACAATAGAATCTTAGGATGTCTGGTGCACGCTAAATTCGACCACAAACCTGAAATGGCTGCATATCACACTCAAAATACATTCCAAAGTCTAAGCACTCTGAAAGCTAACAAAGTGGATTTTAGGACAATTTGCATCTTGAATTATCCATTCCACTAGCCCTCTTTTTTTACATAGCTTATTGTAAATGAATCACTATTTCAGGTGATTAAGATGAAAATGCCAGCAAAACTGAAACTGATTTTGGCCCTAAATTGGGAGAACTCTTCCCCTACTCCCCATGTCCACTCTTCTGTTTGAGATCATTACCATAGTCTATAGTATACTGTTTTTCCGAGGCATCAGACTGTATCCACCCCTAAGACCTTCCCACTTTTCCTGGAAGAGGAAGTAGCTACTGTATTTCATGGGAAAAAACCATTTCTCATCCAAAGCTACCTTCCCTCAGTGTGTTCTTTACTCTCTACCTGAGCTTCTCTTGGATGAAACATGACTCAAAAAGAGAAGGGATGGCCTGGCCAGTGTGGCTCAGTGGTTGAGCATCAACCTATGCACCAAGAGGTCGCCAGAGGGATTCCCAGTCAGGGCACATGCCCAGGTTGTGGGCCATCCCCAGTGGGGGGAATCAGGAGGCAACCAATTGATGTTCTCTCTCATCGATGTTCTCCCTCATCGGTTTCTATCTCTCTCTCTTTCTCCCTTCCTCTCTCTAAAATCAGTAAAGAAAAAAAAAAACTTAAAAAAAAAAATCAAGCAGAACGCAGGTAGGAATTGGTAGCAAATGGCTCTGGCAAGGGCTTATCTGCCACAGTGGTGCATCACACAGAAACAAGTGGTTAGAAACGACAGGGTCACCCAGGCATCATCAGGACCTCAGCCTTATCAGGAATCCAAAGAGGTGATTGATGGGTGATAAGTTCGGAGCGCGACTCACGTTGCTGAAGCTGTGGGCAGCTTTAGAGAACTTCTGGCAGAGATAGAGCCGCTCGCCCTCCGCCATGTAAGAAGCAAAGGTGCTTCGCAATCCCTCAGTTTCTGGGTCCGACATGATGACGGGATTCCGAGACGCTGAAGCGGAGAAAGGGAGGAAAAGAAGCCAGAGAGCCTCTGTTTGGCTTGTGGAAACCCCGTCTCTTAGCAACCGGTTACGTAGCGCTACTTCCGGCCCCTCCCCTTGCTCCAGCGGGGCCTAAGTCTGGGGACAGCTGGGGCCCACGTACGTACGCGGTCAACCGTGCGGCTGCGCACTGGGTGGAGGTGTGACTGTGGCACGTCGGGTGGGTGTCGGGCGGCCCTGCCCCAGTGTGCACTGTTGCTTGGTGTCCAGAATTTACAGACAGAAAAATAGGAAGAGGATTGTGGGCAGAATTCTAAATAGGGATAAGGCGCACGTGGCAAGGATATGTGCCCCACGTGTTCCGCCGCCGTCGGGGAGAAAGCACTGGGTTTGGAGTGGGAGTAGTCCTTGGGCGGTCATCATTTCCTAATCGTGCAACCCGCGGCTGTCCGGTAAGGGCTGTGAGCCTTTCATTTTCCTTCTGCCTAGTGAGCGGGAAGATAATAAAACCTTCCAGATGTGAAGGTCTGCATGAGACAAGGTGGAAAATAACGTTGACTTCAATCTTCAGTTTAATACATGTATTGAACCCCTGCTAGTGGCAGGCCTGGATCAGCGCCTTTCCTGCCAGTCTTCCCTATTCTCTCCCCGTCCCGCTCCCAAAGTGGACTAGGTTCCAACAAACACCCTTGCTTTTACTACATTACTTTTCCCAACACCAATGAGACTGTGACCTATCTATCCTAAGGCTGCTTGCAGAAGTGAAGTCTCTGGCATACAGTTGCTTATGGAAGGTGGTCAGTAAATAACTAATATTATCATATATAAATTGGTGCACCCCACCCTAAGGGGATTAAGTGTTGGTTTAGGATACCAGGCATACTGCTAAGCACAGTACAACCCTATGTGGGAGGACTATTGTTATTTGAGATAAGGGAACTGATAAAGAAGTTTATTATTGCCTTGGCTGGTTTGGCTGGTTTTGGCTCAGCGGTTAGAGCGTTGGCCTGCGGTCCAGAGAGACCCAAGTTCAGTTCCCGCTAAGGGCACATACCTCGGTTGCAGTTTGTCCCCAGCCCTGGTTGGGTTGGGTGGGTCGCAACCACTCCATGTGTCTCTCTCACGTTGATGTTTCTCTCTCTCTCTCCCACTCTATCTGAACAAAAGATGGGAAAAAGAAAATGTCCTCAGATGAGGGGGGAAAAAAAGTTTATTATTACTCTTTTTTTTGGTTAATCCTCACCCTAGGATTTTTTTTTTTTATCCTCACCCAAGGACATTTTACCATTTTTTTGTTCAGATAGAATGGGAGGGAGGGAGAGTGAGAGAGAGAGAGATTGACATAAAAGGGACACATTGAGTGGCTGCCACCCACACAACCCAACCAGAGCCAGGGACAAACTGCAACTGAGTTACATGCCCTTAGTGGGAACGGAACCTGGGTCTCTCTGGAGTGCAGGCCAACACTCTAATTGCTGAGCCAAACTGGCCAGGGCGCCCTAGGATATTTTTCCATTGATTTTCTTGATTGAGTGGAAGGGAGGGAGGGGGAGAGAGAGAAACATAGATGTGAGAGACACATCAATTGGTTGCCTCATTCATGCCCTTGACTGGGAATCGAACCTGTGACCCTTTGGTTCTCAGGCCAGTGCTCTAACTGCTGAGCCAAACTGTCCAAGGCAGATAAGGAAGTTTAGTAACATGTCCAAGATCACTGAACTAGCAAGTGTCAGAGGAAAATTCAAGCACAGGCACTCAGACTCCAGTTCTGAGGTGCTAACCATTAGACTACATGGAGACAGGGATCTTGTCTTAACCTTGTATTTACAGAATTCAACTGCTGGCACATAATAGGAGCTAAGTTAAAGTTTAAATAGTAAAACGATATCCTTAAGTAGATACACACAATAAGTACATGTAAAACTTGGGAAATGTAAATAAATTCAGTGGATTGTGTCAGTGTCAATTTTCTGGTTGTGTTATTGTACTAAAGTTTTTCAAGGTGTTACCATTGGGGGAAACTGGGTAAAAAGTACATAGGATCTCTTTGTATTATTTTTGACAACTGCATATGGATTTATAATGACCTCAAAATAAAAGGCTTAACTAAAAGAAGAATGCCTTTAATACCAAGATAATAAAAAAATAACATGGTTTCTTCCCTGGAAGAGTTCTGTCTAATCAGGGAGAGAGATGAATAAACAATAATGACTGCCCAAAGTTAAATTATTCAAAGTTCTGTGTGCCTATGAGGGAGATGAGGACAGAGTGGTATGACCCCCAGATGAGTGAATGATTCACTTAGGGTTTAGTATGGGTCAGAAACAGCTCCTCAGGGGATTAAGATGAAAATGCATAACTGAGCTGAGGGTAAGTAGGTGGCACCCGGATTTCACCTAAGTAGAGAAGGAGGTGAGAAAAAGCCAGACTTAAGTTCACAACGTGTGTAAGGATCAGCAACCCCACGCACTGGAGTGAAAATCATCCTGTTCTAGGTTGTTAAGATGAGTACATAGATGAGTTAAACACACTGCTGAAGTAATCATCAATTAATTGGAAAAACAAAACAAAACTCCTGCAAAGAGGAAATCTATAGATTTAATGCAATCCCAATCAAAATCCCAGCACACATTTTTTAAAAGTAATTGACAAGCTGATTCTAAAATTTATGGGGAAATGCAAAGGACCTAGACTAGCCAAAATAATTTTGAAAAAGGACCAAGAGAGTTTACATTCTCTGCTTTTAAGACTTATTTTAAAGCTACAATAAAATGCTGGTCAGTTTGGCTCAGCGGTTACAGCTTCGGCCTGCGGTCCAGAGAGACCCCGGTTCAGTTCCTGCTAAGGGCATGTACCTCGGTTGCAGTTTGTCCCCAGCCCTGGTCGTGCAGGTGGCAACCACTCGATGTGTCCCTTTCACGTCAATGTTTCTCTCTCTCTCTCTCCCCCCCCCCTCCCTCCCACTCTATCTGAACAAAATATGGAAAAATGTCCTCTGGTGAGGATTCAATAAATAAATAAAGCTACAATAAAGGCATTAGCCTAAGATTGATATATAGCCCTGGCCGGTTTGGCTCAGCAGTTAGAGCATCAGCCTGCAGTCCAGAGAGACCCGGGTTCGGTTTCCACTGGGGGCATGTACCTCAGTTGCAGTTGGGTTGTGCGGGAGGCAGCCACTTGATGTGTCCCTTTCAAGTTGATGTTTCTCTCTCTCTCTCTCTCCCTCCCACTCTATCTGAACAAAAATATGGAAAAATGTCCTCGGGTGAGGAAAAAAAAAAAAGATTGATATATAGATCAATGGAACAGAATAGTCCAGAAATAGATTCACATGTCTATGATCAATTAATGTTCAACAAATTTGCCAAGGAAATTCAATGGGGAAAGGATAATCTTTTCAACACATACTGCTGGAACAATTGGATAGTCATATGCCAAAACAAAACAAACAGGAACAATTGGATAGTCATATGCCAAAACAAAACAAACAAATTAACAAAAAATCTCTTAACCCTTACCTCACACCATATTCAAACATTAACTCAAGCCCTGGCCAGTTTGGCTCAACGGTTAGAGCGTCAGCCTGTGGACCAGAGAGTCCCGGGTTCAGTTTCCGCTAAGGGCATGTACCTCGGTTGCAATTTGTCCCTGGCCCCAGTCGGGGTCATGCAGGTGGCGATCAGTCGATGTGTCTCTCTCACATCAATGTTTCTCTCTCTTCCTCCCTCTATCGCTCCTGCTTGAAAGGGTTAGTAATGTTTTAACAAAATTAAACTCCATTCTGACCAGTTATTCCTGCACGTAAACACCTAAGCAGTTTTCTATAAATCCTGGGACTGACATTCAGAGGAACCATGAAGATAAGAGGTTAATGATGACCCTGGAAAACTTGGAGGGACCATAAAAAAAGAAAGATTAATCACTGCCCTGATCTCTATAACAATCTCATCTCCAACAGATTCCTCCCTTACTTCTGAGACAGCTTGTATCAACCCTGGTACCAATTAAGTGGTGGCAAGAGAATGTGGTTCTTTTTTTTTTGGTGCGTGCCCCTAGTGGGAACCAAACCCGGGACTCTCTGGTCCTCAGGCTGATGCTCCAACCACTCAGCCAAACTGGCCAGGGCAATTTTTTTTTTCATTTATTTAATTAGGTTCTTTGTAAGAAATTTAGAACACCATTTTATGAGGATAAAGCCCATCTGTGAGAGCAAACACAGAGTGGAGGTAGCCCTGGAACTAAAGAACAGCTTTGATATTTGGCAGAATTTGTGAGTCCAGGGCTTTCTGGTCAACCTTGCGCTGCTCTGTAATCTCGTATTTCTCTTTCTCTGTGTCGAAGATCACCTCTGCTGCTTGCAGCTTCTTCTTGAAGTAAGCATCAGTTAGATGTTTGGGGATTTTCACACCACTGATATCAATTTTGGTGGAGGTGGCAATGACAAATTCCTGGTGTGTTCTACGCAGAGGAACTCGATTAAGGGACAGAGGTCCAGTCACAAGTACCAAGCCACTGCTCAGCTGCTTCAGGAAAATCACCCTCTTGCCTCTGTGGCACCCAGTGAGGACGATCAGAATGGCCCCGGGAGTGATGCTGGTCCGCAATTTTCTCACATGCTGACTGAAGGGTTTCTTGCCCTGGCTCAACAGATTTCGAGGCACATCTTCAGTAGGATAATATTTAGGCATTTTGCGAAGTTTAACCACTTGGGGTTACACCATTCTTGTCGCCACCAACTGGTTTGTGACAGTAGCAAGAACTTTCTCCTTTTTCTTTTTAATCCTGAATTTAGCTGCGGAATCCTTCCTCTTGTACATGGCCTTTCGGGAATACATAGCCGACCGGGAATATCTGCCAATTCCCCTGACTAGGACAGGGTTTCAGCTGCAGTAGGGCTTCCCCTTCTTAGGCGTTGAGGTTACCCTTCTTAACCTTGCCACCAGCATCAGCCTTCTTGGCTCCAGGTTTCTCTCCTTAGTATCAGGTTTCTTCTCCTTAGTATCTGGCTTCTCAGCCCCCCTGCCCCCCTCCCCCATCTTGCAAGATGGGACAAAGCGATTTTTTTTTTAATGTAGTTTTTTTTTTGTAGTTTCTGTAATTTATGCCTGTGTAAACCAGAGAGCAAAGAAGGCTAGAGCTGACCCCTTCTCCGTTCAGCCCGCCTGCACCCAGGCGTATGCAATAAAGCCATTTTGCTCTACACTGACCTTGGTTGTGGATGTGATCTCCTTCGGCTCAGACCTTTTAGTTTTTGGTTTGGAAAATGTAGTCTGTTTCACAAGTAATGGCAAATAGGGAGGCAGCAGTTTATTCATTACAGTCTATGAGTGAGATGGAGGGAGGAGGAACAGGAAAGTGGCAGTGCCGGCCTCAGCCCTGCGCTGGAAACTTCCGTGAATCCGCGCTGAGGTGAATAGGCGAGTGGGACTCAAGGCGGTGCGACTGGCACCCTCCTAGCCCCACTTGCTCACCCTGTCCCCGCCCAATCCCACACTGGGAAGTCTGGAATGTTAACCTCGGTTCTCAGCCTCGCCCCACCGGCTCAACCGAGAGGGTCCACGTGCATATGGGAAAGCAGTCTGTCACGGCTGCTTAAAAAGCGGGGTTAAGCAACTGGGTTAGGTGTGGCCCATTTCAGGCAGCTGGGATGCGGACGTCAGTTTCTCCCAAGGGGAGATAGGAAGGAGACTCCAGGTCCCCAAAGCAGCGCTACAACCTGTTCAGCCAACAAACAATACACCCCTGTTCCCCCCGCTCCACACCCACGACGGAGTGGCGGTCGGCCCAGCCCCTAAGCGATCAGGCCACTGCCCCCAGCCGGGTAGGTTCTCTTTCCAGTGTAGCTCGGCCCATCTCCCCACCCGAGGCCCCGCCCCCGATCCCTCCGCAGCCCAGCAGGCTCTGGAGAGGCGGTGCCCGCCGGCCGTCTGGAATGGATACGCTGGAGGGACTACAAGTCCCAGCAGCCCTCGGGCCCGCCCTCGGGAGCGGGGCTATACCAGACAGCCAATTGGGAGGAGTCCTGGGCTCAGGCTACGGAACGCATATGACCAATCGCCGAGCGGCTCGCGACGTGTGCTGATGGGGGCGGGGAGAAGCCCTCCAGGGCCAGGACAAAAGCCGGACCCCCGGCGGCTTCGGGAGGCTGGCGCGCTCCGGATAGTGGGCGTTGAATCTGGTCTTGTGGAGGAGCGCCACGCACTGACTCAAGCAGAGAGGTGAGTGGTGGGCGGCTGCTTTCGCCGGGGGTCCCCACCTGGCCCAGGAGCTTCCTGCCTCCCTCCCTCAACCCGGAACCGCCTCCACTGAGGCCGGCTTGGTGTTAACGCACCCTCTCTGCACCTGCTTGGAAGTTTGGGGGGGGGGTTAGCCTTTAGGTTAGACTTCGTTCGGGACCCTGACCGGCTTCCACGTGCGACTAACCCCCAACTCTCCCACCTTCCAGTTCCTGGGAGTTTGCACAGGCTTGCCGCCGTCCTTGCTTCTTTTCTCTTTGCGGAATCGCATTTACTCCTTGCTGGCGCCCCTCACCCCCTCCGGTGGCCAGTTATCGGGCGTCCTCGGGCTTTATTGGGCCACCTCTTGCGCCCATCCGGTTACCCCACCTGATGCGGGAGACGGGAAGTAGAGAGAACGGTGGCCACTTGCCCCACTCCAATCCCTCACAAGCCAGGCTCAGGCCCTTCCTCCTAGTTCTGTAGAGTCCGCTGAGCCCCGCGCCGAAGTGGAGGGAGCGAATCGGGAATGCGGCCGCAGCGGGCCACGCGGGGTCGGGCTGCCCCAGGCTGCCCGAGGCCTGGCCTCGCTGGGAGGACCTGGCCATAGAGTAGCAACGCATAAGGACCCTCCTCGCTCTGGAAGTGCCGTCGGGCCAAGCCTCTTAGCGACAGATGGCCGAGGTGCCCGTCTTCCTCCCAACCCTGGCGCTGAAGCCGAGCTTGGCTGAAGCAAGGTCCTCTAGGGGCCGGAGGATGCCGCCGCCCTCCTGTCGGGACTGGCAGAGGGCCAGCTCCCGCCCCCTCTGTCTGCCCTCTCCAACCTTGGCAGATACTGTGCAGTTCTAAGGAGTTATGCCGTTAGGTGGTCCCCCGAAGCCTGCCTGGGAAGGAGGTTTTACAGAGGATGGTGGGGAGCAGTGCATAGCACAGTAACTTTGCTCTGTTTCAGCCAGCTCAATGCCTTGGACTTCTGAAATGCTGGGTTAGTGACAGCTAACTGGTAGACCCCAGCTGCCCAGGCTAGTAATTTTCACCTTTTACATAGCTTCTTAAACAACTTAGGAGACTTTGATGGGACGATCCACTCAGACACCTGGCCGCTGGTATCTCCACCCTCATTCTGACACTATGTAGGGGACACTCACAGAACTGCCCTCTCCTTTACTTCAGGGATTGCCTGTTCCCTAAAAAAACAAACAAACAACAACAACAACAACAAAAACCCAACCTACAAAAAAGACAACAAAACAACCCCAATCTTACAGCTACTAACCTTAAAATGAGTACTTTTTGTCTTTCCTGGAGAGAGACCCTAAGCAGCATCCCCAGCGTTTCTGCTCTACTGGCTGTGTCCCAGCAGTACATTCCTGGGGAACAGGCTTCTTTCATTCAGCCTTCCCTGTGGGCTGCTTCTGCCCTTGGTGGCTGCTGTAGATGAATTCAATCCTGGGTCATATACCCTGTCTGCAGAAAAGACCCCCATCAGCTCGTAAGGTCTCTCCTTTGGAGTGTGTGTGTATGTGTTTTAGGTTCCTTGGCATGATTTCCCTCAAATTGTTTACACATTTACCTGTTACTAGATAACAGTTTCTTGGGCACCAGAGCCGATCCCTGGGGGGTCTTAACTCTCCCCTGAAACCATCTATCACCAGTTTGACAGCATATTCAACCAAAGACTTTGTGGGGTTGCACCTCAAACCCAGATTGATACACACTTTAAGTCTCATTGTCACTGGAGCAAATGTTCTTAACTTATGGGCTGGGACCATCAGATGATAGTCACAGGTCAGCACCTTGAGATGACAAACACAATTGGGTATGTGCACATTTTTCTGGGCTTTTCTTTGGATGCTCAAACGAGTCTGAGACCTCAAATAGGTTAAGAGCCACTGCCCTAGAGAGATTTCAAAGCCCTGCTGAATGGTTAAATTTGCAATTTATCTCCACCCAGTGTAATCCCTGGGTTTGTGAGCCTTCTTACCCTGCATTGGTGAATATACAGAAGCGATTCTTTTCCTGCCTTTAAAGAAATGTTTATTTTATTTTTAGAGAGAGAGGAAGGGTGATAGATAGAAACATCCATGTGAGAGAGAAACATAGATCAGCTGCCTACTATACATGCCCTACTGGGGATCAAGCCCAAAACCCACGTGTGTACCCTGATCAGGCCAGGCTCTTTTCCTGCCTTTTTTTAAAATCCTCAGCTGAGGACTTTCATTTTTTGTTCAGATAGAGTGGGAGGGAGAGAAGGAAACATCGACATGAAAGGGACACATTGAGTGGTTGCTACCCGCACAACCCAACCGGGCTGAGGACAAACTACAACTGAGGTTACGTGCCCTTAGCGGGAACCGAACCGGGGTCTCTCTGAACTGCAGGCTGACCCTCTAACCGCTGAGCCAAACCGGCCAGGGCGCTTTTCCTGCTTTTATTCTATCTTGTAAATTGTCTGTCTTGGCCTTGAGAGGGGTTGCCCCATCTAAGCCAGAGCGCTCTGGCGGCAAATCTGTTTTGGTATGCTGGAAAATGTTTTGCATTATTATTATTATTTGTTAATCCTCACCCAAGGATATTTTTCCATTGATTTTTAGAATGAGTGGATGGGGTGGGGGTGGGGGAGGTGGGGGGTGGAGAGAGAAACATCCATTGGTTGCCTCCTGCAGGGCCCCGACTGGGGTCAGGATCAAACCTACATGCCCTTGTCTGGGAATCAAACACACAATCCTTGTGTGGGAATCAAACACTCAATCCTTCTTTCTTTGGGCCAGTATTCTTAACCACTGAGCCAAACCAGCCAGGGCTGAATCTTCCCTGTCCTGTATCATCTCCCTGTTTTGTCTTCTCTCCCATCTTCTTCTGAGGACCGTATGGAGATGAACTCTTGGATCTCAAGAAAATTGTGACTTTTCAGCTACAGAGGTCCCTTTTGTCACTTTGTCCTATCCAAAGTTGGGACTCTGTTTTGGCAGGTTCCAGGTTTGGGGGACTGTTGTCTCAGGAGTGTCTGTCAGAATTATCTCTGCTGGAGAGGCTTAGCTGAAGGGCTTCCTTCTTCCTGGATTTTGTGATCATTCATGCCTGATGTGTCAGAAGCTGCCCCCTCCTTTCTCTGTTTGATCTGCTCTGGGCTGCACTCTATTTGGGAGAGGGGTGGGGACAGGTGTACCCATCTGATTTCAGGACCAGTTTTTCTGGTCTGAGTCAAGAAGGTTGAGAAAATGGAGCTGGAGTGGGTTGGGGTGGAGGACTGTGGGGCACTGGGGCTGGCTGAAACGTCTTCTGAAACTCATGTTGAGATGGAGCTAGAAGTCATTTCATGGGGAGGCCAGAAAAGGGAATGTCTGCTTTGAGTCCCTTCTCTGCTACCCCACTTTGGGCCAGACACCAGACTGAATGCACCTATTGTGCCCAGCTCTAGACCAGCTGGGAGGCTGAGGGAACCAGCCAAGCCAGGACTAGAACCTGAAGCT